TAAGACAGAAGTTATCTAATCGGATCTAATGCTTCATGCTATGCAGCTATGAGAGGTTTTGGGCTTCAGCTCATCCCGTTTCCATGAGATACTGCCAAACACTTCGGGCACCTTTGACAGGCTGATGGAAAGCACATTTGTGTTATTCCAGTGTCTGGTTGTAGGAAAGCAGAGCCACCTTTGACTGCCACGTGCAGTTAATTTAAAATGGGATATAATTGCTGCTTCTGGTTGAAATACTACTGCAGTGGCTTGCAAGGGGTGTTTTTCACAGGTTAATCCTGCCTGATGTACTAATCTAGGGAGCTGGAGTGGCATGAAAAAATTAGAGAGAACACAGGCAGTGTAGGGAAGCTGGGCTTTCTAGTTGTTCAGATTACTCTTAAAAGGCAGTAGCATGTTATTGATCTAACAGCAAAGAAGCAGCTATACCGGGTGATGCTGTGCATGTAGGAAATTGCATCAGGCTTATTTAGTATCTAATCTAATCTCCTTTAGCTGCCAATGATCTCAGCCCGTGTGTGAGGAGGGTACAAGTCACAGCAAACGCCAAGCTGGAAAACCACCTGGGCACTGCAACTCCAGCTGCCGTTCTGCTGCCAACAATTAAAACCCAACATTAAAAAAACACTGCAGTGTCTCCCCATGCCACATTCTGTGTCGTTCACACAAACTCTGGGCCTGCTCTTACTGCGCAGTTCTGAGCGGTCAGTCCAAGAGAAGCTCTGACAGCACAGGGCTCTGCGGGTGGAGCGTCTTTGTCCTCGCCCTTCCCCACACAACACCCCGTTCCCCAACCGCCCCCCGCTCTGCTGTCGTCAGCTCTACGCTTCCAGCAGGCTCTGAGGACAGCCAGCCTGCCGCATCGCAGCAGCACGGGAAGGGCTGCGTTCAGGGACCGCGGCTTCGGCACCAGGCTGTAGCCGAGGGTCTGCCTGGCCGCTGCCAAGACGGCGGCTTTAGAGAGCAGCCCGGGGCCCAGCTGCGCCCTGGGGCTTAGCAGGCTCCGGGGGCACAGGGCCGCGCTGCACGTGAGCGAGTGGAGCGGCCGAGGGGCTCCCCGGGCAGCTGTAGCCTTTGGCCGCGGCCTCCTGCACCTCTGGCGCTCCCAGCAGCTGTGGTTCAGCGTTGGGACCCTGCCCCCGGCCCGAGCCGACGCGAGCTCCGAGCTGACCGCGGCTCTTGAGAGCTCCGCTGCCCCTCAGGAGCGCTCTGCCAGCACTCAAGATGGCGCACCCTCCAGCGCCACGCCAGGCCTCAAGATGGCACCCATTGGGCTCTGCCCTCACCTGCCATGGCCGCCGCCGACGGGGTAGCATCGCGCAGCTTCCGCTTCCTGCCCGCAACCAAGATGGCGGCGGCGGCCGGGAAGCGCCGTGTGGCGAGCGAGAGGTGAAGCCGCATCCGCCGCCGCGGCCTGTCCAGCAATAAAAATGGCGGAGTCGGTGCTGGAAGTTGTGGGCCGGCTGCAGGCTCGGCTCGCGGGCAGCGCGGATCCCAAGAAGGTGACGGCGGTGGCACGGCCGCGGTTCGCCGGGGTGCTGGGGGAGGGACGGGGCCGGCACAGCCGCGAGGGGCAGGAGGTGCGGGGTCAGGGCCTGCTCGGGGCGACGGAGCTCGGGGGTCCCGGCTGTCGCTCGGGCCGCGCCCTGTTGGGCTGTCCGGGGCGGCTCGGCGCTGCTCCGCACGGGGCCGTCCCGGCCGTGCCGCCGCTGCTCGGTGCGGAGCCCGGCCCGTGGCGCGGTGGCAGTGCCCGAGGACTTGGCCCGTCCCGGCGCTGCTCGGGGCCGCTGACAGCCGCCGTGCGCCGGGCCCCTGAGCCGCTTTCTTCGTCGGGAATTGGGATCCGGGGCGGTGCTCGGGGGCTGGCGTGCTCCAGCACGTGCTGCTGTCCCCTTCCTTGGGACGTGGCATTTTACAGGGCAGCATCTGTTAGGAGTGTTCTTGGAGGTGCTCGGGTCACGGTTCCTTTCGTTCGGCAGCAGCTTTATGCTGATCCGGGTTTATCCTGGGCACGCACCCACGGGGTGCCCAACTCTCTGGGCTGGGCGCGGGGAGCTCTGCCACTCGTCTGGCTCAGTTTGAGGCGCCCAGTTCCTTTCTCACCCCCCTTCCTCTCTCTCTCTCCATCTCAGCCAACACCAGAGCGGAGTGGAACTGCCGGGGCTCTGTGTACTGAGATGGAGCTGGGGAGGCTGAGCTCCGTGTGCCTGGATTGTGAGCTGGCTGTGCGAGCAGTGTCAGCTCCTGGTTCCTCACCCCGCTGTAATTGTGCAGTGAGAGCTGTCTGTTTGCTGCTTGGGCCCTGCGAGGCATCAGTCAGCACTCTGCGGGCTGCTGTCTCCTGTAGCACTGCAGTGTGAACTCATTCCTTTCTGTGGTGCTCCAGTGCAAGGGGAGGAGAGATGTTAAGCATTAGCAAGCTGCTACTGGCTGCAGTTGTATTGTTAAACCTTTCCAGATCCTCAGGAGAAATGACCTGTAACCTATACTTGCTGCTTCCTGGTACCTTTTCAACAGCATCCAGGGAAATGTTTGCATTTCTCATCTCACAGAGGCTTCTGCTGTAGCTATTTCCACTGCACTTCAGTGGCAGGCGCAGCTTTACTGTGTCAGAAAGACAGAGCCACAGAGCTGCACTCATTACAACCCCAGTAATAAAAGTGCTTTTGGAAATACTGCAGTGGAGTGAAGCTAGAATATAACCAGGGTAGCCTTGAGGATAATAGGAGGAGTTTTCCCTTGGCACGTACTCTCATACTGACATTTTTATTAATATGAAGCAAACTCTCTAACAAGGTGATCAGCTTAGAAAGGTGCTTTGTTTTAATATCACCCTGTTCTACTCTTTTCTACCCAGCACAAGCTCCATCCTTCCTCTCCTTTCATCACAGAAACACCAAGGTTGGAAAAGACCTACAAGATCATCCAGTCCAGCCATCCAGTTATCACCAATAGTTCTCACTAAACCATGTCCCTCAACAAAAAATCCAAACGTTCCTTGAACACCTCCAGGGCAGGTGACTCCACCACCTCCCTGTGCAGCCCATGCCAGTGCCTGACAGCTCTTTCAGAAAAGTAGTATTTCCTAACATCCAGCCTAAATCTTCCCTGGCGCAGCTTGAAGCCATTCCCTCTGGTTCTATCACTAGTTACACAAGAGAAGAAGCCAAACCCCAGCTCACTACAACCTCCCTTCAGGTAGTTATAGAGAGCAATAAGGTCTCTCCTGAGCCTCCTCTTCTCCAGACTGAACAATCCCAGCTCCTTCAGCCGCTCCTCATAAGGCCTGTGCTCCAGATCCCTCACCATCTTTGGTGCCCTTCTTTGAACCTGCTCCAGGGTCTCAGTGCCTTTCTTGCAGTGAGGGGCCTAAAACGGGACACAGCACTTGAGGTGCAGCCTCACCTGAGTACAGGGGCACAATGACTTCCTTGTTTCTGCTGGCAATGCTGTTTCTGATGCAGGCTAGGATGCCATTGGCCTTCTTGGCCACCCAAGCACACACACTGCTGGCTCGTGTTCAGCTGAGCATCAATTAATACCCCCAGGTCCATTTCCTCTACACAGTCATTCAGCCATTCTGCCCCAAGCCTGTAGCGTTCCCAGAGTTGTTGTGGCCAAAGTGCAGGACCTGGCATTTGGATTTCATGCCCCCTCCCTTCCAGCAAGCACTTTGTGCATCAGTCTAAACTCCTGTGTTGCTGGGACCGGAAGGATCCTGGCTGGGAGGGCTCTGTCCTCACCATCAGCATTGCGGCACTGAGCTCTGTGGCCACAGAGCCTCTGATGGTTCAGTGTCCCCACCTACAAGTGGGTCTGTTTAGTAACAGTGCTGGTGAAGTACTGGTGGCCCTGGAGTGCTGAAGGGACAAATGGGATTTCTGGCTCAATGGGTTTCTGCTTTTCTGGTCCTTGAGGAAGGTGAAGGGGTGTGTTACCTGCACCAGGGCCTCTGAGCCCATGGCTGCAGGCACAGGGCTGGAATTGCTGCTTAGATACTACAAGAGCAGATCTGGAACTGCTGCATCCTCCTTGGCATCCTAACTTGAGTGCTGAAAAATGCCATGATGCTGGTATTGAAATGTGTAATTCTTCCAGAACAAGGAGGAAAACCTAATCCTTCACTATAATAATGAAGTCCTACATATGACCAGTGGGGCCGTGGTTTGTGGTGAATAGGATCCATACTGTCATTCTGCTTAAGCGAGGTGGGCTCTTTTCTCTGTTGGTTCTTCAAATATGTAAAAAGAATTTATTTCCTTCAAAAAGAGTGAAGCTTCCTAAAGCTCTGGGTCCTTGTGTGGTGTAAGCAGGGTGATGGGAGCTGCTTAGGTTGACAGTACTGATTTCAGCACGAGTACAATGCTTTAAGGAGATTTTCTGGCTCGGGGCAGCCCTTTGTACGGCATATGAACAAGGCCGAGTTGTAGAGGTGCCACAATAATGGGAATGCTGACAAGTTTGCTCTGGGTATAGCTGTGGGAGATAATACAAGAAGTGGTGGTGCTAATAGGTCTGCGCTGTTGCTAAAAAGCCTCTGTACATCTCAGTGAGGTGATGCCCAAGCACCAATACTGCTCCATTTATGCCCACACAGCCCAGCCCCACAGTCAGTGAGTGGGTTTGGGGAAAGGAACGAAGAGAGTGGGGCTGGAGGCAGCAGTCCTGGAGGGATTGGTTGGCTTTTTAAGTGGTGTCTGAGAGGAGAGAGGCTGTCTGCAAACTGGCCTGGGGAGGATCTACAGGAGAGATGAGGATTCTGTGCATCCTCAGGAACATCTGAAAGGCTTTCTTCTTCGGTGTCTGGTTTGCAGAACCTCATGAAGTTATCTCCTTTATTTAATTTGTCTGTCTCTTGCAAAAGGATGCACTTCTCAGGGCCACTTCTGAGAGTCACAAGTTTCTAAGTCTTTCCTTCAGCTTCTTGTGCCCCAGGGCTGTGTAATGGCTCTGCTACCAACACTGTAAGCCAAAGTTAAGTTGCAATTCTCTGTAAAGAAAGAATTTGTATTTGAGTAAGTTTAAGATTTTTCAGGTGGCCCTCATAGGCCAAGTGGCAGTAACTTCTTTGCAGCTGGCCCTCAAGTTTGGCTTCTGAGGGGCTTAATGTGGAGCAAGATAACAGCTGTCTGCCACCTGGATCTTTCTAACAAGCTTTGTGCAGAGCTTCCCTTTCTAATCATAGTACACATTTCAGTCTGACAAATCTGAATGCTGTCCTCCTTGCCTCTGCAGCTGCTGAAGAGTCTGAAGAGGCTGTCTGAGCTGCCCATCACAGTTGACATTCTTGTGGTAAGAGCTGTGAAATCTCTTGTGCTTTCATCCTGTCTGTCAAGCTACACAATCTGTCTGCTAGAAAAATGCTGCTTTCTGAGCAGGATATGCTGTCTAAACCACCTGCTCCAATGTGAAGTCATAGACATGGCTGGGATGAGATTCTAGAATTCCCAGTTACAGACAGTATCTCAGCCCTTCCTCCGCTTCAGTATGAAGCAGTGCAGGACAGGTGGTGGTGCTCAGCTCTTCCAAAGATTAATGCTTGGTCAGGATTTGCGAGTCAGAACAGTTCCTAAATGGTGACCGAAGCAGCATCGCATTAGAGGAGCTGCAAATCTTTGAAACTATTATGACCAACTTCTGTCTTCGAGTAGTTATGGTAAATAATAACTTAGTTTATTAAACCAATTAAGTAATTTTTGACTGAAAGCAGAGTTATGTCTTCACTAATTTACAGTACTGTAGTAAGCTATACAATGTCTGCTGAAAACACAGTGTGCTACGTGTGATTTGCTGTTAGATTAAGGAAGCTCACTTTGACCTAGAACTGATAGGTAGCAGGCTAACTTTGCAGGAAGCTCAGTGGAGGTGTGAGTGCTGACTGCTTTGCTGAGATTAGTTTTTATCTTTTCTTTCTTCTGAAGGAGACAGGTGTTGGAAAGACGGTGAACAGCTTACGGAAGCATGAGCTGGTGGGAGACTTTGCCAAGAACCTTGTTGCCAGGTGGAAGAAGCTGGTGCCGGTCTCCCAGGAGGCAGATAGGTGAGTAAACCTGCTCAGTTATGGAAAACTTGCTCTTTTTTTTTTTTAATTTTTGCAGTGCAGATTACAAACTACTTTGATCATGGAAACAAATGAAGGCTCTGGAAAAACTTGTAACACAGTGTGTTCTGTGGGGCTTCTGCCTTGTTTTGGAACAAACTTCCTCCCTGTCCTCACCACAGTGTTGAGTTGCTGACGGCTGCAGTTCAGAGTGAAGGCAGGGACCAACCTCCAAGAAACTGCAGTTTGATTAAAAGATTAGCAGTAGCTGCCAAGGGCTTCTAATAAAACAAGAGATGTAATCAGTTCACTTCCCACTTATGATGCCAAAGAGAGGAAGTTTTAGGCCAAGTAAAGGAAGTGGCTTGCTTTGAAAGAAGACTTCTGTGTGTACAAATGCCACAGAAACTGAAGCTAATGCTAGCACTATGTAGCAGTAACAGAGCTGTGTTGATTCCAGCAAGATTGGGATTTAGATCTGGATGATGAAGATTCAGTTACTCGTGATAACCTTGATGGCAGTGGTGTCCCTGCATGCTTTAATGGGTGAACTGGGAGCTCCTGTTTCCTTACACACTGTGTAGCCAGGGGTGTGTGACAGAGACATCTCTGTACACCTTTGCCTCCACTTGCCCAGTGAACTGTGAAGTTGTTAGTCCTTATAAAAGTGCTTAATTCCTACATCAGAAATGTGGTTCCTAAATCCTTGAATATTGCTGTGCTAGGGAGAGTTTTGGTATTCTTGCCACAAAACTTCCAAATGCAATTTTAGTCCTCTGTAAGAGATTCCCATCCATATTGCCCATGGGGAGTAACTCCATTCGTACTGGGAAGTTTCAGTCTAAGTAGTTTGTTTTCTTGTCCTTTTAGAAATAATCTTGATTCTGAAGACTGTGACTATGAGAGGAGCAGCTCAAGGAAAAGACAAGCACCTTCTCCCCAGGAGGATGAGGAACATGACCAGGACTACTCAGAGCCTTTCCAGCCTTCCTGCAGCCAGCTCTACAGCCCAGATCATAGAGAAAAGAAATCCAAAAGGTATTTAGGGCCTGAGAAATCTCATGAGGCTTATGGCTGTAGCAGCCAAGAGGATAAGAGATGGGACAGATCTTCCCCAGTGCTCTCTTCAGATCAGGAGTACTCAGACTATGGACAAGCTGTGTCACCTGAGCCAAGTGAGAGCCCTCAGGATACGTACACAGACCCTTATGCCTCTGATGAGCAGGAAGAACCAACAGTGTTTCATCCCAGTAAAGTCAGTAAGGGCCATGGCTTTCAGGAGAAGCTGGGGGAAAGCTGGGAGAGGAACCCTGGTGATCTCCATGACAAAGGGAATGCGAGTGGAAGCAAAGAGCACAAGTCTTCTCACAAGGAGAAGCAGCGACTTGATGGCCGAGGGGAGAACAAAACCTCTGCCTTCAGCCCAGAAAAATTGCACAAGACCTCTTTTAAAGAGCATCTCCGAGAAAGCCCTGTGGTAGGTGGCAGCAAGGAAAAGCACAGGATATCAGATGGCACTAAGAAGGAGAAAAACCGAGAAAATAGCTCTTCCAGAAAAGAGAAACTGCACGTGCAGCCACGCTTGGAAGAGTCTGTGGACAACCACACTAAGAAGAGAAAACATCAGAACTCTGAAAAAAGCAAACTGGGGAAGTCCAAGCCAAGCCTGGAGACTTCTAACACAGAGCGGGAGAAACAGAAAGGTGAGAATGACTCCTCAAATAGGATTAAGGAAAAGGGGACTTCTGGGAGCTTAAAAACGTCTGAGGGGAAGCACAAAGCCTCTGAGTTGGACAAAAAGTCTACTGACTTATCCTCGAGTTTTGGGGACGGGGAAGTGGAGGATGAGTTTGAACAGCCTACTATGTCTTTTGAGTCATACCTCAGCTATGACCAGCCCCAGAAAAAGAAAAAGAAAGTGGCCAAACCCTCTGTGTCAGCTGGGGAGAAAGATAAAGGGCACAGCAAACAGAATGGATCCAAAGCCAGTACCAAGAGCTCCAGCTCGAGTCGCAAGAGCCCAAGTCATAAGCGGACAAATGAGAAAAAAGCAGAGAAGAAACAAGCAGAGCCTCCTAAACCAAACAGGGTAAGGTTTTGCTCGCTTTCAGATCCTTCAAAGAAGTTGGGATCAGCTGCCCTTAATCCTCTGCTATCTGGGGCTTATTGGTTTTCCCTTGGTATGTGCTGGGCTGTCCTGCATCAGGCTGTGCTTGAGGTGTCTCATCAGTGCAGTCGGTGACCCCAGGCTCCTGCTGGGACATGCTGTGTCTCACCCACCTGCTGCAGGGCAGCCCCACAGGCGTCTGTGTGTGCTGCTGGGGTGGAACTCTGCTGGAGCTGTGAGTGGAGAGGGAGGGAAAAGGAAATGCAATAACCAGAATTCAACTTTTTCAGAAACAGGGGAAGTAAGAGAGACTACTTTCAGGCAAATACTCATAAGAAAACACAAGTGTGAAACACTTCTTTAACAGTGTTTCGAGTTATGAATAAATTTAGAACTTTGCCTAATATGCAATGGCATCTCTGCCTCCTAGAGAGGTTCCCAAGTCTTTTGTGCATTTCTGCTCTCTAAAGATAACTTTTTTTTTTTTTCTTTGTCAATACTGTGGTTTTATTAACTGGATGTGTTGGGCCCCAGGAGTTGGGGAGAAATGGGAGAATTGGTGTTACAGTGCAGCTTATTCTAGAAGCCTGAACTTCCTTTGTGAAAGCTTGAAAAAAAAGTAACGTTTCTGTATATATTCATTGCCTCACAGATGCCAGTTGCCTATGTAAATAGGGAGTAGTGTGTAAAAACCATTGCTACTTTCTTTTTACTTGACTTTGAAACACTTTTTTCCTCAACGAGTGCTCTTATAATCCTAACAGCATTTTACAATCCTACCTTGCCATTCATTCTAATAAGTGTTTCATATAGCAGTTCAAGATTTTCCCCCGGTTTGATGTTCCCCTCTCTTCCATCACAGCTGAATCTTTTGCAGGAATGTGGAAAGACAAAATGAGACATCACATATTAGGGAGTGTTTGAGGTCAGGAAGATGTTTCTGTCTCCCTTCTGTGCTGTTTTTTTCCTTCAGTTCTTTGCATTGTTAATCTGATCTGATCTGGGTTCTCACCAGGGCCCTTTAGTGCTGAGCTTAATGGGCTAAAGACATAGATGTCTCTTATTAGGGGGTGCTGAGTAATTTGGATCCTGAATTTTGGTTTCTGTGTATTTGGCAGCTTAGATAGTCATGGCAGTGTGGGAGAAGTGTAGCTTCCTCCTATTTCCTGGTGCAAACTGATCACCATTGTGGCTTATTGGCAATACCAAACAAAAAGCAATTCAGTGCTGTTTGTACACTGGTAGGATGTAACATTCTCAGCTTAGTTGCATGTACATCCTTTTCTTCCAGATGCTGATAGATGTGGTGCCAACCTTACCAGATATCCCACTGCCCCCAATCCAGGCCAACTACCGCCCTCTTCCCTCCATTGAGTCCATTACCTGCTCCCAGACAAAAAGGAAAGGTATGCTGGGCAGGAAAAGGGGTTTGTAATGGGTTACAGACACTGTTAGCAGGAGGTGGCAGGAATGCATGCAGGCTGGGTTCTGCTCTCTTTACGCTGGGATCTTGTGTCCTGCCTTGATGTCTGGAGCCTTTCAGAAAAAGGTGTTTGTTTTTTGTGTCATCCCCCCCCCCCCCCCCCCACCCACGTGCTCTAACTGAAATGAGGAAGATCCTTTGCTGACCCTTCCTGAGCTTGAGCTCTGGAATTGCCCTTCTTGAATTGGGTGGCATTTTGCAAGTTTCCTAGAGAGGACTTTGGTTCTTTGGGTTTCTTCGGGAAACTCTGGCTTGTGTCTCCCATGCCATTTGTCAGGGTGATCTCTTGGTTTCTCCGTTCCCTTCTTACTCCAAGTCTTGCTTTCCACAGCAGTTTCCTCACCAGTTGAAGAGAGCGAGGCAGGATTTATAGGTCGCCGGTTGAATTCGAAGATGCAAGTGTATTCAGGCTCTAAAACTGCCTACCTCCCAAAGATGATGACTTTGCATGAGCAGTGTATCAGAGTCCTTAGTAACAACATTGACTGTAAGTAGTTTTTCTGGTCTGTGTTAGTTGTATTGCCATGTAGATTTACGTAACTCTGTCCCCACTGAAGTCCTGGTGAATTCTTTTTGTGTATCCCAGCAGCACCTGGCTGCCCCTTGTCACTAGGCAAGCTGTCTAAGAGGGGAGAGATCTCCCTGAAAGCTGTGGTGCTGCAGGAGTCAGTAGCGCAGCATGTTGTAAGGAATGATTGAAGTACTGGAAATAGTGGTAAATATTCCTCTGCACAGGAACTTTTTATCTTGGAGCTGTTGGTGCCTAATGATTCACTGGAAGTATTGCACCCTAGTTCCTTTTTCCTTCCCCATGAATTGTGCAGCAGCATGCAGCATTGCTGTTTATTCAGAGTCTCAAGCCCTACCTCTGGCAAGTAAGGAGGAAGATAAATACTATGCATCTTGCTTCTTTCTAGCTATCTATGAAGTGGGTGGTGTCCCTTTCTCAGTGCTGGAGCCAGTGTTGGAGAAATGCACCCCAGAGCAGCTGTACCGCATTGAGGAGTGTAATCATGTGAGTGCCTGGGTCTGGGGGAGGGATGCTGATGTCTGGACATGGATAGATATGCTAAGAGACAAGGAAATGAAGGTGTCAGGGATGATCTCTGCTTACGCGTGGCTTTTTTTCAGGTCCTAATTGAAGAAACAGATCAACTATGGCATAATCACTGTCTTAGAGACTTCAAGAATGAGAAGCCAGAAGAATTTGAGTCCTGGCGGGAGATGTACCTCCGACTTCATGATGCTCGAGAGCAGCGGCTGCTCATGCTGGCACGGAACATAGGCTCAGCTCATGCTAACAAACCTAAAGGTAATGAAGGGCTGAATGACTGGGGAGCCAGACAGGTCTGGGAAGGCTGCCTGGGGGAAGTCTGTGTGAGAAAGGTCTTTAGGAGTGGCTGGTTTGAATCCAATGCAATGTAAAAGTTGCTCAACTCCGTTCTTTGTGGTAGCACTCACTTAACAGCTTAGCAGTCTGTAGATCTCTTCCATGGTGTTGTGGACCAGTATTGTACGGACAGAATAACTACTGAGGCAACGCTTGTGACTTCTTTGTGCTAGGACTGAAGAATATCAGGGTGGGGTAAAACATCCTTCCTTTTGTTGGTGAATATAGAGAGAATTACCGGCCCAGTCAGTGAGTCTTATAACAGCCAGTCCTGTGACTGCAGGAGGTTCGGACCAAAGAGAGTAGGCTGTCTACTGAGCTTTGGAACAGATGAACTGCAGAAAGGTGTCTGGAGCTTGCTGCAATAAGACAAATACCCAAAAGCTTTCTTTTTGGATCTAAGCACTGTTTCCCTCTGGCCACCTACAGGTAGAGTGGCCAAAATGGCCTTTGTGAACTCTACAGTGAAGCCCCCTCGGGATGTACGGAGAAGACAAGAAAAGTTTGGAACTGGAGGTGCTCTTGTGCCAGAGAGAGCCAAGTAAGTGTTTCTCGTAGCATTTGCTGTGAAACTTGTGGCTGTAATAGCTTTTTTCTTACGGGGAAGAATAGAGATCCTAGTTAGTGCTGTCTTTGTGTGATAAAAGACATGGTCGTATTAACAAATGTGGCTCATTTGTCTGATGAACTGCATCAAACTGCCGTGATGCCTTTACTGAAATACCTGCCCTGTCTTTGTTTCAGAATAAAACCAGTCCTCTACACATCTGGCAAAAGCCATGCTCGCGTGAGCGAGGAGCGGTCCTATGATGGGCCCAGCACCAGCAGTGCCCATTCTGTCCCATCATCAGGTAGCACCTTCTCATCCTATGACCCTAGGAAGCCACCAGTGAAGAGTAAGTACAAGCTGCAGAGCATCTGTGGTCTCATATAGCTTCTCCTTTGCACATGGATGAATCGTCTTTCTGCTGCAAGAGAAATCCAGGCTGTGTGGGAGGGTCAAGAGGTGTCCTCTCCCTGTGGAGAGGATAGTGAAGTCAGTTCAAACTTCTTGCACAAGAAAAAACATAGGGAAAATCTGGAGGTGCAGAGTCGGGATGTGGGGCCTGGAGTTTGCTTTGGGCTCTCTGGAGGTCCTGGCAGCATTTAAGAAAGCTGCTGTGCTCCACTGTTTGATGGCTTCACCTACTTGCCCTTTCGCTTGTGCTGTCTTTGTTCCAGCCAGCTGTTTGTAATAAAGAAAAGTTTGCTCCTTTCAGAAGAAAGCCGTGAGTTTACCGAAGATATGTATTCTTGCAGTGCTGAAAGCAGTGTCGGCCCTCCTCTGTCCATGACCTGAAAATAAGATGGGCACTTGTGCAGGCCTTCATTGGCCAGGGCTGCAGCTCTGAATCGCTTTCTGCTTTCTTGCTCTGTAACCTCTGCTTTAACATTGATTTTTGTTTTTTCTTTTTTTCCTCCTGTTTTGCAGAAATTGCACCCATGATGGCAAAGACTATCAAAGCTTTCAAAAACAGGTTCTCTAGGAGATAGGTTGGAAGCACAGAGCTGGGATTTTTCTCTCTCATGGGGGAGTGGCACTGATGGGGGAGAAGGTACCAAAACAGCCCAAGTCCTTTGAACTCTGTGGAGGCTGCAGCTGCTGGGAGAGACTTTGATCTGCACAAAATGACAGCACAGTATTTTATCTTTTATTCTCATCCCTTCTCCCTAACCTCCTGTTTCTGGCCTTGTCTTCTCTCTAAAGAAAGATGTACAGGATCTCCAGATGTGAGAAAATGTGAAGTCTTGGCACCTGCTGAGAGTAGAAAATCCAGAGACTATTTACTATTTAACCTCTTAATAAATTATGAAATGGTTTTAATTAATTCTTCACCCCTCAAGCCCACTGGTACTATTTATGTCGCTTCCAGTAGTCTCCCCCCTCCCAGCCCAGCACAAGGGCAGGCCCTGGCTGCACTGGCAGGAATCCATACGAATGGGAGATGCTTCTCAAAGGATCCTGTCCTTGTGGCCTGATACCTCCTGGACCCAGAGTCCCACCCGGACTCTGGGACAGGTGGCACTGGGTACCCTTCTGCTCAACAGTCCATTGGCAAGTGGATCAGGTCCTGAGGCTTTGCTCTCTAATCATGTATCTTAATAAAATCTTAGCTCTTGACCTCTTCTCTGCTGTTACTGTAGATCTCGAACAGATGCTTATGTTGCTGGTCAGGGATGCCAGGAGCCACTGAGGACTCTTTCTCTGCTGCTGCTGTCTTCTGCTGGCTACTGGGAATAAAAAGATGAAGGGTTTGAGGAGAAGTTTTACTGTGCACCAATGAGTATTTTTCCTTTTTATCTTAAGGGAGTGGACTTTGTCTGCCTCTGGAATTAAAAATAGTTTTTAGATATCATTGAAGGCATTGCTTTGCCTCTTTTAATGGTAAGAAGGAATATTTTTATCTTGTTTTCTGTGTGGAACTGGGAAGGGTTTGTTTCCAGTTGAAGGCTGGTGCTCAAATCTTGTCCTTCCCCCGTGTGTTCTCTCTGCCCATCTTCAGAAAAAGTGAGGATTTTAGTCTTAGAATCTGGAACCGCTTGTTTGAGAGAACTGGATAATGGAATGTGTTGGTTTTAATGTGCACATACTTCATAGCAGGGGTGCCGAACTCCCGGCTGTACTGAGTGTCTGGAGGGAAAAACTCACGATGCCAGCTGGTGGCTGCGTTGCAAGGTGCCAGGGTGTGAGGTGTGATTCCAGGGCTCGCTGCAGCACTGCTGTGGCTCGTGCAGCCTTACAGCACTGGTGGGGTACATCTGCCTTGGAACAACCTCAGCTGGAGGCAGCGAGCGGAGGTCGCAGCCTCTGGAAGCAGGTGGAACCTGCTTGCACAGTGCTGGAGTGGTGCACAGGGGGTCAAGGAAGGGGAGAGGCTCTGGGCTGTGTTCGTTGTGCCAGGCCTTTGGGTGAAAAAGGTGCAAGTGATGACAGTAGGGGTTGCTGGTTGGGAGTTGCTGCCCAGGGCTCCTCGCTGGGGAGTGTCCTCCCTGGGTGGCTTTAGGAACTGCGTGCTTCTGGTTTCGTTCCTTTTGTTCTGTTTTAATCCATTCTCAGTGTCCTCTGTTGAGTTTTTTCTTGTGTTGAAGGACTTGGAAAGGTGTTTTCAGCCTCTCCTGTGCTGTATGTTTGTTACAGTCCGAGGTGCTTCAATGTTACTGTGTAGCATTTCAGTGCATCCTGCTGTAAGATAATTGCTCCCGGCTCCTGCCGTTTGCTGTATTTAATTTGGCTGTACTTCTAATTCCATGACAATACACGCCCTTCTGCTCCCGGTTCTTCCCCCTGGGGCACAGCCCTGTGATCGTATCCGGCCCCTAGGACCCCTCCCCCCTCCATCCTCCTCTGTCCCCCTGTTCCCAGCTGGGGGGATCCCACGCCCCATGGCAGGGTAGTGTCGGATTCCCCCACTGCCGGCCCTCGGCCTCGTGCAATCCCTCTGTTCTGCTACAGCGATGGCCCCGAGCAGTGCTGTCTGCCCCGCTGCGGCCGGGGGTGGGGGGCGACTCTGACATGTATTTGTAATTTTGTCCCCGATGTGTATATACAATTTTCTATGTTCCTTTTTTGTGGTAACTAAGATGAATATTTTAATTAGATAAGTTATATGAAAAAGAAGAACAATCGTGTCTCAATAAAACCCAAACACTGGACCCTCGGCCGCCTGTTCCTTTCTGAGCACGCGCGGCCCCGCCCCCAGTATGCGGCTTGTGGGCGGGGCGTGGGCCGCGAGTGGGCGGGGCCGACGAGTGAGCGATGCCTGCAGGGGGCGCGGTGCGATTGGGCGGCAGCCCGCCGTATTTGTTTGGTGGGCGTGGCTCGGGGTGGGCGTGGCTCTGCGGGCATGGCGGAGGGACACGGGCCCGGGCGCTGCCGGTGCTGCGGCACGGACGGCGGGGAGCGGGGCGCGGCCTGGGGCCTGCATCTGCGCATCGACCGCGGGCGGCTGCAGTGCCTCAACGAGCGGCGCGAGGGCAGCGGCGCCCGCGTCTTCCGTGCCTGGGAGGAGCGCGGCGACCGCGAGCAGGTGCGGTACCGGGGCCTGTGGGCGCTGCCGGTGAGGCCGGGCCCGTCCTGAGCCGCTCTTCCGCCCGCAGTTCGTGGAGAGCGACGAGGACGCGGAACTGCTCTTCAACGTCCCGTGAGTGTGCGGCCCGGGCGGGCGAGGGGCGGTGCGAGGCCGCGGTGCTCCGCTGTCACCGCTCTGCTGTGCTCCCTCCCGGCAGGTTCACGGGCAGCGTGAAGCTGAAGGCCGTCGTCGTGATGGGGGAGGACGATGACTCGCACCCCTCTGAGCTGCGACTGTGAGTAACACTGCTGGGCTGCGCTGTTCTTTAGCTACAGGTCAGTGCGGTGCTGGGTACTGGGCAGAAGCCCGGAGCCACGAGGAGAAAGAAGCTGGAGCTGGTATGGGAGTGAACGTGGCTGCTCGTGCACTGAACCCAGCCTGCTCCTGGTGCTTGAGATTGTGGTGGTGCTTTGTGGTGGCGTCGGTAATTTCTGCTACAGAAAGCAAAGCACAGTCTTATTGCTGAGGGGAATCCAGAAAGCGTTAATATGTGGGGAGGGAGCCCATTAGTGACGCTGCACTTTAATAACTTTCTGGGTTTCCTCTCTCTGTTCCTAGGTTCAAGAACATTCCCCAGATGTCCTTTGATGATGCTGCCCGGGAGCCAGAGCAGACGTTCAGCCTCAACCCCGACCCTGTGGGCGAGCTTGAGTACCCCACCAAGTAGGGACCCGGCCCGTGCAGTTCTGCCCATGGCTGCTGGTGGTGACAGATGTGCACTGCAGGGAGGGGAAAAGCTGCATCTGCAGCCTCAGCCGTTTGCTCCATGCCTGATGTGTGCAGGCTCTGCTGTCGGTCTGTTTTCTTCCAGAATTGCTCGCTTCTCCAATGTCCATGACCTTTCCATGTACTTCCCAAAGAACTTTGGAGCCGAGACAACGAAGATATTTTACATTGGTCTGAAAGGAGAATGGACGGAGGTGAGAGCCAAGACAAGCAGGACTGCATTACTGGTGCATGCAGAGCTTTAATCAGGGCTTAAACTGGACTCTGGCTCTCAGGAAGGGGTGGGAAGGGTTGAGATAGATCTGTGAGGTGGGGAGCAGGAAGGAATTCAAGTGCCACTGACGTGTCCCCATTCAGGCGCACCGCCACAAGGTCACCATCTGCAACTATGAAGCATCGCCCAACCCGGCCGACCACCGGCTGCAGCAGGTCACCCCGCAAAGCCACTGCATCTCTTGATTGTGGCACTGCTCTGTGCTTGGGGCTGGAAACGGACACGGACAGAGACGGTGACCGAGGCCCCGGGGGCTGCGACCGTGCCCAAGTGTGTAGGGGTAGAGCGCCGGTTCTGAACGGCCGGGCCCTCCCGCTCTGCTGCCGAGCTGTGCCCTTCTCATTGCTAATAAAGCTTCCGAGTTCAGAGCAGCCGCCGTGGCCTCACCGGGGCTCGAGGGGGCGGCGGGGCGCGGCTGCCTTCCCCACGTGTGTGCAGGAGCCACGAGCCGCAGCAGCGACGAGAGGCGGCGGCGGCGCTCGGCCGGCTTTTCCGGCGCTGCCCCACGTGCCGGCCGAGACCACTTCCGGCTTGGGCGGGGCGCAGCCAAGATGGCCGACCCAGGGATGGTGTCACTTCCGTCGCGCTGCCTCGGCCGCCACCCCGCGGGCGGAAGTTCCGGTGGAGCGCGGCGGGGCCGGGAGCAGCACGCAGGCGGCCCGACCGGAGGTGCGGGAGGAGAGGGGACGGGACGGGACCGGACCACCGGGTCGGGAGGGGGAAGGCAGATCGTACCAAGGACACCGGGGCACGGGGGGAGGAGGTTCCGGGCGGTCGCGCCCTGAGGTGGGGCGGGCTTTGAGCGGGCTGCGGGACGCGTGGGGCGTCGCTCCGTGCCCGGGCTCGAGGCGCTCCGCCGGAACGGCCGTTTGCCAGTCCGCTGACGCCCGATCTGCACGGGGAGCCGCGGCCGTGTCGGAGCCGGGGAAGCGGTCCCGCAGGCCCGTCCTGTCCCCCCGCTGCTGACCTCGCTTTGCGCCTGCGTGAGCGGCGGGGCCGCGGCCCATCATTAAGCGATGGTCATTAAGCGCCTCGCGGCGCCGCTGCCACTTCCGTCGGAGCGAAGTGACCCCGCGCTGCTCTGCGGCAGGTCTGGCGGGGGGCGGGGGGCTGTCGCGGCCTCGTCCTATTCTGGCGGTCCGGGGTGGGGGGTCTTCTCACGTTTCGGCCCCGCGGGTCGCGGTGTTCGCGTGGCAGCGGGTGGAACGCGCAGGTGTCCTCTCGTGGGGGATGGAGGTGGGCGCTACGGGGTGCGGCGCTGTGGGCAGCGCTTGGACTGCTTTCTTTGTCCCAGGCCCCCGTGGGGGCGGCAGAGGCTGAGCTCCGGGATGGGCTGTGTGGGCCCTCGGCAGGCTGAGCTGATGTGGGACAGCCAGCCCACCGCCCGGGGCGGAGGGGATGATCCTTAAGGCCCCTTCCAACCCAACCGTGCTGTGGTGCTGTTTGCTCTGGGCAGCACTTTTCAGCCTATCCATCTGATGGAATTGCAGCTCCTGTTGCCTCTTGTTGGCTGTGTTGTGCCCGGGAAGGTGCGCAAGGCCACAGGAGAGCTGCTGTTACTTGTGGCTGTGGCTGCTAGGGATTTTGGCAGGTGCTATTTGTCTGCTTGTTGTTTTGACCCTGGAGTACACATGGCAGTGTGTAGGCGTGCATTTGCCAGCTTCCAGTGTTTCTGCTGGAGCTAGGGATCAGCTGAAGAGTGCTCAGTGAGACAAACCATGCAAGTCGTAGCCCAGACAGGGTACACTGCAGTCTGACTGTGTTCCCGATGGGAGCCAGGAGATGATGCTTCCAACGCACTCTCATCTAATTAGTGCTCAGCATGGGCTGCTGCCAGAGGTGGGAGTTGTGCCCATTGCGTGAAGCACAGCACCTTGCATGAATTGTGCAGGCAGCACAAGAGGGCTCTGCTGCCCCCAGGTCTGGGGACTAACAGCCTGGCTCATCCCTGGATGGTTCCATAAGGAGCTGAAGCTCTTACAGAGCCATCAACGCCCATAAAAATTGCTGCGTGCCTGCTCTGGCGCTTCCTGCTTCCCCACTGCTGCAGATTTGGGTCAGGCTCCTCCTCACATTCACCAAGAGTCAGAATGCTGAGGCTGCTCTCTGCCCATGTTGCTGCTGTCACTGGAATAGCTTTGGTTATGAGGTGTCACTGAGCTAATTTTAATGTTCTCTGTGTCCCACAGACATGTGACCCTACTTGCCTGGCTCGTGTGCCTCCAGAACTACGATGTGGGCAGCATTTGCTGGCTTAGAGTTATTTTCCTGCCTCACCTTTGTCCTTCTGCCCCACAGGTGCCAGTGTCTGAGTCTCTCGGTGTATGTGTGGTAACAACATGTCTGTCCCCCTCCTCGCTGATGCAGTGACTGTCTCAGGGGCAGAGCGGGAGACTGCCGCGGTAAGGGGGCTGCATTGGTGGGGATCCCCTCGGTCCTCTGGCCCTCTTGGCTCTGGGGCTGCTCTGCTCTTAGATGGGGAGCAGTGAGGGTGGGTTTCCTGGGATTTTTGGTGGCTTGTGCTGAGGAAGGGGACACCCAGGGCCCTGTGGCACAGCAATTATGGTGCTGGCGTGCCTGTTCCACCCATCCATAATGCTCAGAGCTGCAAAGGAATGTCATTAGCATCAGTTAATTTCTGCCTGTTTGGTTCTCTGCTGCTTATTGACTAAATGGCCTTTTGCCTACATGCCCCTGTCTCTTTCCTGGTACACAGTCATCACATCAGCTAATTCATTTGTTTTTCTGCTTTATTTAACAGGTCATTTTTTTACATGGCCTTGGAGACACAGGGTGAGTACTGCTGGAGCTGTCTCTGTGTCACGTGGCTAGATGTGGGCCTGGCCATTTGCTGCTTTGCACAGAGCATCTTGGGGATGTGTCTGGGTCTTTGATCTCAGCCACAGCAGCTGAGCTTGTGCTACCCGAATGGGGAATCTCTGGCCAGTGGCTGTCTGTGTTCCAGCTTGAATATTTATGATGTCCCCTATCTCCTACGGGTTTGATTTTTCTTCTTTAAGACAAACAGACAAGCACCATCCCATCCTTGGGAGGGCTGATAGTATCTGAGTATGCAAGGCTGCTGTAGCAGACAGTGTGAAATACAGCAGCAGCAAAAGACTGCTCCCTGCACAGGAGGTTCTGTCCCCTTGCTTGCTGATGGCAGCTCTCCTGCCTCCAGCTAATGAGTTCTGTGTGCTGCCTTTCCTTGCTGGAGATCCATGAGGGTTCAGGCCAGGGAGTAAGAGCATCAAAGCTGAGCATCCTTGAGGGGAAGTCTCTCATCTTCATCAACATCCCCAAGTGCTCAGACTCCTCTATTCTCTCCCCAGACACAGCTGGGCTGAAGCTCTCTCCTCCATCCGCCTCCCCTACGTGAAGTATATTTGCCCTCATGCGTAAGTGATTGGTAAAGGGTCCTGAGAGGGCTGGGAGGGTGCCCCAGCCTGCCACAGTCCTTTGGTAAAGATGTCCTGCAGCCGTGGGCCCCTTCTGTCACTTGTTTCTCTGAAACATCCAAATTATTTTCTCTGCAGACCCCGGATCCCAGTAACCCTCAACATGAAGATGGTCATGCCTTCCTGGTGAGTGCTTTGGGTGGCAGAGGTGAGGTCTTTCAGAGTGGGTGGAGTCCTTGAGGGGTATTTTGGGGAGTGAGAAGGATTGGGGAAGAGCACCCAACTCCCTTCTCCCTGCACACCAGGTGCTGGCTGAGGCTTGGGGCTGACTCTGCTTTTTCTCCCAGGTTTGACCTGATGGGCTTGACTCCAGATGCACCTGAGGATGAAGCTGGAATCAAGAAAGCTGCAGAGAGCAGTAAGAGGCTTTGGAGAGGGGGAAGTGCTGAGCTCCTGGATGCCTCTCCCTCTCTGGGGCGGGTGTCTTGTTTCTGCTTCTCCTTCCTTTCTCCTGCCCTGTGGTTCCAGACCACTTCTCCCAGGCTGCAGCCAAGCTCATTCAGTCTGTGGGACCTCTAGTGGCTGCCTCTCCCTATGTGCTGTGCACACCTCAGGCCTCAGGCAGTGCTGGTCAACTCCCCCGCTTTTACTGACCCATTTCTCTGTTGTTTTCCAGTTAAAGCAATTATCGAGCATGAGATGAAAAATGGAATCCCACCCAATCGTATTATCCTGGGAGGCTTCTCACAGGTGAGCTGAGCTGCATGGGACTGTGGGGCAGGGCAGACAGAGGGCTTGGGCCCCCTGTTTCCTTCCTAAAGATGAGGAGGAGCTTTGCTGGCAGGGAAGGGGCCGAGAGCTGGGGCTTTGTGGGGCACGTGGCACTAACACCTTCCTCCTCACTGCAGGGCGGTGCCTTGTCACTGTACACGGCTCTCACCTGCCAGCACCAGCTGGCTGGCATCGTGGCGCTCAGCTGCTGGCTCCCGCTCCACAAGGCCTTCCCACAGGTACCCTGTCCTGCTGCTACCCTGCGTGTCTGTAGAGCACCTGCCTGTGGGGGATCCCCTCTCTGGGCACCCTTAAATGCTTCTTCCCTGTTGCAGGCAGCAAGTAACGGTGTGAACAAGGACATTGCCATCCTGCAGTGTCATGGGGAGATGGATCCTATGATCCCTGTCCGCTTTGGCGCCCTCACTGCTGAGAAGCTGAAATCAATTGTCACCCCTGCCAAGGTCCAGTTCAAAACCTACCCTGGTGTGATGCACAATTCCTGTCCTCAGGTCAGTGCCTTGGGAGGGAAAGGGGCTGTCTGTTGCAGCCTTTGGGATGAGTTTGTGGGCATGGCCCTTGAGCAGCCCTGGTGCGATGGGCTCTGCTCTCTTGCAGGAGATGATGGCCGTGAAGGAGTTCATCGAGAAGCTGCTTCCCCGGATCTAAGGAGAGCCAGTCGAGACTGTCACAGGGAAGGATGCCGAGGTTGCAGCTGCCAATCTTTGCCCTGTGACCCGTCTGCTGCAAATGGAAGCCATGGCACCCACCCTTGCCTCCCACCACAGTCTGGCCCTCGCCTCTTCCCATCTCCTTGCGCTGCCTCCTCTCTGCCGGGGGTGCTCTGCCCCCCTGCTGCTCTCAGAGCTGAGGTCGGAGCTCTCTAAGGCGAGCCTTGAGATGCCTTTTCTCTTCTCTCACTCTGAGCAGTTTCTGCGGGGACCACCATTCCCTCAGTTTCCCATTCAAGCACTGCAGTGTGTGGGGCTGGCATGGGGCAAGCCAGTTGTTTTTGTTATTTGTTTCTTCCGTAACAGTGTTAGGGGTGGGACATGCCTGGCAGCGGGAGGAGTGGGGTGGGCACAGGACAGGGCCTCATGACTGCTCTCGGCCTCTACTCAGGTGACTCACGGGTTTTCAATCAGAGCTCAGGAACCCGGGACTCTCCTGCAGATGTCTCAAGGCCCAGGGAGAGGCTCTGCTCTGAGCTGGTACTGTCAAAGACTGCCCCAACCCCTGGGGCTGGCAGAGCGGCAGCTGTGCAGCTTCCACACCACTGCATGGGGCTGTGGCCCCTGCCCTGTCGCACACGCACACTCCCACTCCCATGGGCTAGCAGCAGCTCTGTCCTATAGATAATCACCTCCTTCATCCTCCTCCTGTCTTTGCTTTTACAATCTCCTCTTCAGCCTTGGATGGGGGCCCAGAGGGGTCTTGCCCTCCATCAGCCCAGCTCTGCATCCAGGTGCTGCTGTTTACAGCTGGCTGCTTAGCACCTCTGTCACAAAGCCTACTCTGTGCTGGATGGGTCCTTAATGTCTCTTGCTGCTACTTCTCCTTCCCTTTGGACCTGGGCTGGCTCAGGGAGGTGGAGAGTGGGATGAGGCATCCTGGCCCTGGCTGACATGGCTGGAGGCAACAGGTTGGCTCCCAGTCATTATCTCACCAGCATCTGATGCCTGGGGGCTGCTGTGCTGGTTCTATGGGGCAGCATGGGATCTCTATGTTGTCTGGGTGAAGGGTGGAGGCCACATTGGCCTTTCAGTGTACAATCACAGGCTGGCCAGGACTAGCACCATACCCCTCACCCAGCTGGCTGCAGCTGAGGTTGTGCCTCTCCCTGGCCTGGAGGGACACAGCCCAGAGCTGCTCCCTGCCCCCCAGTCACCTCCTCCACCTGCCATAGGTGGGATCCCATTATCCTCCCCCCTCCTGCAAGGCTACGGGCAGAGGCTGTTGAGCAGTGCTGCCCTTCTCACCTCCCTGGGCTGAGCCCGCAGCACTGCTGGGCCCGCTGGGCTGGAGCTGTCATTGTCTTCTTTAAAAAAAACAAAACAAAACAAAACAAAAAAAAAAACACAAACAAACTTATCTGGGCCACAGGGTGCGGCTCCTTCCCCTGTGTACTGCCTCTGTGGGTCTGGTCTGTTCTTGCCCTGCACAGCCCTGCTTGGTGTCTGCAGCTGTGCCCAGGGGCTGTGTGGGGCAGAGGAAACCTCGTTGCAGTCCTGGAGATGTGCAAAGCAATAACCCGCTTACTGGAGAGTTGGGTCTGTCAGACCCATCCTTGGTTTTTTGGTTTGTGTTGGGCTTTCTGTTTTTTTTCCTTTAGAAAGTCTTAAACCAGCAAACACACTGCTGGCATGAGGGGAGTCCAGCTCTTCCCCTTGCTTGGGGTTATGTCCTGCTGTTTCTTCTGCTTGGTGTGTTCAAAACTGCTGCAGCCTGTCCCCCCTGCTCTCAGCAAGAGGAGGAATGTGAGGCTTGGGGGTAGGCAGCCCAATATCAGCTGTGAACTGGAACTGGGTGCATAGTGGGGCCAGCAGGGGCTGGGGACCCGTGGCTATCCTCAGGCACGGCTCTCTGTAGCACATTCCCTGCTCCCAGGGAGCAGCACGTGCTAAGCTGGGGCCATGCTGAGGATCCAGGGAGGGAGAATGGTTTCTCTCCATTTCTCAAAACACCTTTTTGTTGTTAGGTTGTTGGTTTTTTTTCCTTCTTCTTTTTCCCTCTATTTTGTCTTCCTTGTCTGGGGTCTCTTTGTGTGTGTGGTCCACAGAGTCAGATACAAGGTAAATAAATCATAAACCTCTCCCAGCTGAGCTGGCAGTGTTTGTCATTCAGACTCCACTGGCTGCGCCCCAGCAGCTCTGTCTAGGTGCAGCAGGCACAGAACAGAGCAGCTACTTAGAAAGTAAGAAAATTTATTTAGAAACAAATCAAAAGCTCTATTCATAATTTAGTAACATAAGTTAATCTACATGACAGCAAACTGAGCTAGCTGAGTCATCATTTCCTAAGGGAGCCAGTATTGCTGCCAGTAATAAATAGAATCAGTGTGTGACAGCCAAGCAGAGCCTGCTCCTGAGGAACCTTTAGGAACACAATTACAGAAGAAGCTGCACAGGTACTGTGGAAGCAGAACCAGCTATGAGATCCCTTACGGCTGCAGGCAGGGGCTCCTCCAGCCCCACAGCAGCACACAGCAGGCAAGCCTTGGGCCCCAAAGCCATCTGAGAGGAGGGGGAGGGAGGGGAGCCCCTGGCAGCCAGCAGGGGCTGGTCCTTGGGGGGCCTCAGACTGTGGTCCTGTGGGAGAAGAGAGGAAGGCCTAGGACGACACAAGAGGTGGGAGGTCCTTGTCCAGGCCCCCTTTTTGGGCCCAGGGCTGGGGCTGTAAAGAATGGGCAATTTCCTCCACAGTTTGGGCACCCAAGATCGCTTGCTGGAGAACTGGATACTGCTTCTCCTGCAGTATGCACCCCCACCAAGCACCCTCCTGTGCCAGGTCCCAGACTTTTCTGTGAGGGGATTTAGTGCTCTGGGTAGTGAGGCTGGGCCTTGGCTCAGTTCTGTGAGATGGTGGGGTGAGGATGAGGAAGCATGGAGGCAGGTAGAGGGGCAGGCCCTGAACCCAGGACCGTAGAATGAGCCCTCAGACCAGGGCTCAGTTCTTACTATATCCTGTGGGATTCTGCAGCTGCCAGCGCCACAGGTCCTCACCTGCACAAGGAGAGAGACAGTGAGGGAAGGGTTGGGAGGTGGGCATGGTGCAGGGCGGGGGGGGATGTTCTTACACATCTTGTCCAGGCCAAATGCAGCTTTCCAGCCCAGCTCCCGCTCAGCAAGCTCTGGGTTAGCATAGCAGGCAGCCACATCTCCCTCCCGCCGGCCCGTGATCTTGTACTTGATCTGCAGGGAGAGCAGCACTATGAGGCAGGGAACTGCCAGGGCTCTGCAGAGGGCACTAACACTGGCACAGAGGCTACTCAAGCGGGCAAAGTGCACTGCAGGAGTCACTGACTCAGCACCTACCACCCTCCCTGAGGCTTTCTCCATGGCCTGGACCATCTGCAGGACAGAGTAGCCTGTGCCGGTGCCCAGGTTGTAGATCTGGGAGGAGGACAAGGGACGCACATCAGCTCCTGCTGCAAAAGGCAGGAGGGCCAGACACCCTTTGTTCATCCAAGCCCCACTCTCATACCTTGCAGCCACAGTTCTCTTTGAGCTTCTTCAAAGCAGCAATGTGTCCCTTGGCCAAATCCACAACATGGATATAATCCCTAACACCTGTGAAGACAGGGGATGAGCACAAAGTCCTACTGAGCCACGGGACAGCTTCACACCACCCATCCACAATAACGCACCCGTTCCATCTGCTGTCTCATAGTCATTTCCAAACACACTCAGGAATTCCTGGCGCCCCACTGCCACCTGTGCAGAGGAACAGACACAATCTGCTCAGCTTCTGCCACACACAGCACTGCAAACCTGCAGCTCCTGCTGGGCAGTACCTGTGCCACGTAGGGCATGAGGTTGTTGGGTATGCCCTGAGGATCTTCTCCGATCATTCCAGACTCATGGGCACCAATGGGATTAAAATAGCGCAGGAGAATGGCATTCCAGCCCTGGGGAGAGACAGAGACGTGGCAGCCCTGACCCCAACCCCAGCACACACTGTGGCATAATACCACTGCTCCCAGCCCCGCACCCTCAGCAGCCCCTTACCTTCTCTGCTTTGCAGAGGTCCTGGATCATCTCCTCGATGAAGTACTTAGATTTGCCATAGGGGTTGGTGCAGCCCCCGACCGGGTGCTTCTCATCCAGGGGCAGGTATTGTGGGTCACCATAGACAGTGGCCGAGCTGCTGAACACGATGTTCCTCACGCCGTGTGCTTCCATGGCCTAGGAGTGGAGCGCAGCACTGCAGAGCCCACCGCATGGCACCACATCATGCCCCACCTGCAGCCCCACTCCCGTTCCCACTCACCTCCAGCAGCCGAATGGTGCCGGTGAGGTTCACACCGTAGTACTCCAATGGCTGTCGCACAGACTCACCCACCGCCTTCAGCCCCGCGAAGTGCATCACGGCCGAGAAGCGGTGCTGAGAGAGAAGAGACGCGTTAGGGCTGCAGCAGCTCGGTCCTCGCCCAGGGGTATTCAACGCCCGGGGGGGGAGGAGGCAGCGGCCGCACCGTGCTGAAGAGCTGCTGCAGCGCGGCCCCGTCCGTGATGTCGAGCTCCTGAAAGGCGATGGGCGTCCGCGCGATGCGCTGCACGCGCTGCAGGCTCTCGGGGAGCGCGCCGGGCCCTGGGGGGAAGGGGCGGTGGGTCCGAAGGCTCCGCATCGGAGGGATCGAAGCCGGCAGGATCGCGCGTACCTCTGGCGGCGTTGCGGAGGTTGTCGATGACCACGGGCTCGTAGCCCGCCTCGGCCAACTGCAGCACGCAGTGACTGCCGATATACCCCGCGCCGCCGGTCACCAGGATGCGCTCCGCCATGGCTGCAGGGGAAGGGGGAAGCTGAGCCCGGCCCGCTCCGGATAGATCACCACAGCGACCCGCGGGGCACGGAGCCGCTCTTAGGCCGCGATCCCGCCGCTCACCCTCCGCCCAAATCCGCCCTGCCTTTAAGGCCGGGCCGGGCCGGGCGGGGCCTGCCGCGCCCGCCGCCACGCGTGCCGAACCACCTGCGGACGTGTCAGCCTGGCCGGAAGCGGGGCGCTGAGGGAGGGGGCTTCCGCCTGAACGGCTACGGCCATTGGCGGGCTGAGCAGCAAGTCGGGGCCGGGAGCGGCGGGGTGCACACCGCCCCCTGGCGGCGGGAGGCCACACGCGGAACAGGAGGAGCACGGCAGCGATCTCGAGTCATTAAACGACATCTTTATTAGTTTAAATCAAACAATGTGTCTATTACTCCGAGTACTTAGAAGTATCTTACAACAGATACTGAAGGTTTTCATAGTGCTGAGCACCACGGAGAAGGCCAATCGCTCCTCCTGGTACCCAAATCACAATGGCAGCACTGGTGCTGAGCCCATCACCTGCAGCCGCACAGCAGCTGCCTCTTCTCTCCCCCCTCCTCCGAGATCTCAGGAAAACATTCCCATTTTTCATTTCTTCAGAAATTCCATCAGATTATGCACTTTATCTCCTGCTCCAGGCCTGGGAGGAGCCCCAAAGGCAGCACCGTGGAGGGAGCAGGGCTGGCAAACAGCTACACTGTCCTTGACCCACAGCCAAACCCCCCTCGGGTACATCACAGTCTGCATGCGGCCTGGGACACTTTGGAATTGGTTCTTCTGTTCAGAGCATTGCAAATAAAGGTGCCGGTGTCCATCAGCTTCTGAAGGTCCACACCCTTCCAGGACACAGGGAACAAGGTCAGCATCACTGCCACAACACTGCCCCAGGAGCATGGCACAGCACAGAGCAGTAGGGCCAGGAAGTTGCAGGAGCTACACAAGGCCCACAGTACCCTGCCCTACTCTAGGGCTCTCTGTGCCAGGTCCTGAAGCTCCACTGCAGCCTGAAGCCAGCACTCAAGCTACTCACACTTACCGTGTGGATGCCCAGGCCATTAAGCATGTACACCAGGTCCTCTGTAGCAACATTTCCCGATGCTCCCTGGGCATAGGGGCAGCCTCCAAGGCCAGCAACAGAAGCATCAACCACACTCACACCCATCTGCAAAAACACCATTTTCAGTAAATTCTCCTTAAATAAAAGGCTCCCAAAATATACAGTTCACAAACAAAAGTAGAAGAAGCTCAAGCAAGTGTGCTCTGCTGCAAAGCAAGAATCCTACCTGAAGTGCCACCAAGATGTTGGCAAGGGCTTGCCCATAGGTATCATGGCAGTGAACAGCAAGAGCCCCCACTGGCACTTCTTTCATGACCGCTGCCAGCATCTCCTTCATGCTCCCTGGGGTCCCGATGCCAATGGTATCACCAAGGGAGATCTCATAGCATCCCATCGAGTACATCTTCTTTGAGACCTGCCCAAAAGCCAAGACACTGAGAAGACAGCTTTGTCATGGCCCTCCCCAGAGCTGGATATAGCAGTACAGAGGAGCCATAACATGCCAGGAGACTCCTCTCTGGAAACATTCACCTGCCTGGTGTCCTCATCCATATCAGCTAGGCAGCCTAGACAGCTGCAACCTCCCTCCATCTCTTCCCCCAATCTTTGTTTTAATGGTTCAACACATTCTCCAGCCATCAGAGTCCAGAAGGAGCCAAGAACATGCCGGAAATTCTGGTTATGTTTATGAACTCACCTCTGCAACTTTAGCTGCAGAAATCTTCCCTTCATAGGGACATCCAAGGACGCATGAAACATATCTATAGTTAAAAAAGCAAACCTTTAACAAGGGAACGGCAGCGAGATTATACAAGCCAAGTTGTTCAGAGCTTGTGCATTATTTTATATTCACTACACAACAGAAGATTTCATTTTCTATTTTAAAAGTCAGCACACATTCCAGTGGACAAAACTAACCTAATCAGTTACTCTACAATTACTTCTCTCATAAAAATAAAAAAAATCAGATAAAACAAGTACGCCAGACCAGGAGAGTTTTATATCTAAGCATTTCAGTGTGCAGTATGCCAGGAAGCCAGTATTATTTTAGATTATTTGGTAAAGCTGAAGATAGAATGAACAAATGAGGGGAAGAGTGTAAATTGTCAAAAGCTGTCCAGAGTACACCAAGCCAACACCTGAAACTGTATCGGAATGCTGTCATTTCCAAATTAACACTCCCAAGGCACAAAGCTCGCACTTGCTTGCATTCATCCAGACAGAGGCACTCCTCCCCAAAAAGCAAAGTTTAAAAGCAATTTCGCTCTCCAGTGCTGCGTGGGTCAGACTGCAAAGAGGTAACCTGCAGCAGTTACATTGCCCCTGGGCTGCTTGGTGCTGGGCTCACAGCAAGCTCTCCTTACCCACGGACAGGGATGCTGGCTGCTCTTGCAGCATTCATTACTTCACTGAATCTCTCCAGACTCTCCTCTATGGAGCAATTAATGTTCTTCTTTGTGAAGAGCTCAGATGCTGCTCCAAAGATGGACACTTCTTTGGCCCCTGCTGCCACCTGCCAATAGAAAGCATTAACCACGTTAGATGACTTCTCTTGCAAGGGAAATGACAAGCATGATTAAGACTGCAGTTCTCTCATTTTATTTTTTCCCCAGTTTTTCCCTGGACGACCCAATTAAAATTTGAATTTAAAAAAATGATTTTTAATATAATATATTGAGTTATTCTCTATCATAAGCAACAGGCTTCCCCAGAAGAATGATCCCTTTGTAGAGGAACTATGATGTGAAACTGCTGCCTGTCAGAGCTGCAGATGCGTTTCCCACCCTTAACCACAGCTTAAGTATTCCTTCCTGGGCAGCCCTGAGGCTCTGTGACCCCTTACCGCTGCCTGGAATCCTTTCAAGTTGGGGGTCAGCACTGGGTAACTCACACCAGGCAACTTATTGATTCCCTGCATGACTTCAGCATGGTCAGCCATCTGCAAAGGAGACAGGGAAAGATTTCTGAGGGTGACAACTCCCTTCACAATTTTTAACACTTTTTAAAATTATTATTATTATTCACTTTCTACGAAGGGAGTGACAATACTCAGGAAAGTGGAAGAAGTGGTGCGTAAGGTGCACTGCAGGTCTCCAGCCCACCAAGCTGTGTGCACCTGAGCTATGTCCCTGAGCTGAGTGTGCTCCTCAGGCACGGACGGAAGCCTTTGGGCACTGCAGGTGCCTGCACGAGGCACTGCAAGAGGGGCCTCTGCCCCGTCACCAGGTCTGACACCAACCGGGTGCTCCCGACAGCGCACTGCTGCCACCCCACATCAACGCTGACCTGCGGCACCCATCGCGGGGACACGAAACTGGTGGCCTCGATGACCGGCAGCCCCGTCTCCGACAACATGTCGATCAGGCGGATCTTCACCGGCGTCGGCACCACGGTCTGAGGAAAGGGGAGTAGAGCGGAGCTGAGACCTGCACAGCTGCGCGAACTAAGCAAACACGGCGGTGCCCGCGCGTTGCACAGAGCGCCCTTCGCACCCACCCCGGCGGTACCTTCTCGTTCTGCAGCCCGTCGCGCGGCCCCACCTCCACCACCTTCACTCTCTGCGGAAAGGCCGCGGTGCTGACCTGAGGGCGGAGAGAAGGACAGCATGAAGGACCGGACAGACCCGGAACGAACCACCCACGACCCGGCGCCGCTCACCGCCCGCATCGACACGGCCCAGCACGGCAACAACTTTCGCGCCGCCGCCATGGCTGCTCGAACCCCCTCACGTGACGGCTGCCACGTGATTAGAAGTGGGCGGAGCTTTGCAGTCACGTGAGAGCAGCGCCAGAGTGTGCGGTACCTGACGCCGGGTGGTGTCACGTGACAGCGGTTCTGCTACGAAGCGCGGCATTGTGCGCTGAGGGCGCTTCGGGTGGCGCTCTGGATGCGTTCGGGATGCGCCGAGGGCCGCTCTTATAGCCGCACGCCGTGCCCGGCGCCGCTGAGCAAACAGTCCGTGTTTGCCCTAGGCCGCCCCGCGCTGCGTCACCGGGGGGCCCCCGTGCCAGGGCCGTCAGCGCGGGCCGTACCGCAGCCCGCGAATGGGGAAACGCCGCCGCAGATCTCCGAGTGCGTCCGCCTCCACCGGGACGCGGAGCACCGCAGGGGCTGACACCGTGCCGGGATGCGATGGGCTGCTCCGTGCCAGCTGTGCCCGGCCTCGCCACCCGACCCCCACGCAGCCTCTCCCCCAGCCCCAGCAGTGGGGCAGAGGCTCAGATTTAGACCAAGACCCCTTTTTCCTGTCAGAACTCTGCTGAGCTGGTAGCAAGGCCTGGTGATGCCTTAAAGAATGGTAAGAAGAGGAAACCTGTCTTGAAAAGAATTTATTTAACAGTGAGTGAACAATTCATCTGAGACTCAATTGAAAAGACAGGCGGGGGGCGGCTGCTTTTACCCCGTGGCTGTCACTTCACCCCCTCCAGCCGAACAGCCCAACCCGTCTGTGAGCGCTCAGAAGACGGAGGTGCATAGGGCAAAGTCACGAGCAGCCCTTCACCAGGACGCTGCTGCCACTTCAGAGTTCCTGCAAAACCCAACATCGTCACCTGCAGAAAGGGCACAGGGACACTCAGTTGCAGCTCAGATGGACACTGTGAACACTGCAGGACACCCAAACTATGTTTCAGTCCCTACACCTGTAGCACTTCCCACAGATTTGAGGCAGCCCTGTACTTTTCCACCCACAAGGGGTACTTTTGGGCCAAATATTTGATTAGAGTGTGCTGGGTTTTGGGTGGCTTACCCCCTCACGCTCACTCCCCCCCCCCAAAAAAAAAAAAGCAATTGAGAAGGCTTTACCTGTGTTTGTTTAGAGCAAAGGGCACAGTAGCATTTGCGTCACAATTACATTTACAATTAGCAAGTCAGTGTACCTCACCTGAATTGGAGAGATGTAATACTAGTGATCCCTTCTGTGTGTGAGGCTTGTTATTTACTTTACCTCCCTGTGTCAACAGGATCAAAACAGTTGCAGGGAGAAATGTTCCTACCTATTCTATGGGAGATGAACTCACTCTGTCTGTTGTTCCATGTTAAATAGTGAGATCAAACCTGAAGAATAATAGAGGATGCTGCAAGGGTGTGGGTGAAAGCATCCCATACCAATCAGTAAAGGATAACAACTTCATGTTCTCTCCAGTAGCACTCAAGCTGGGCCTCCTCAGCCCACACGTGCCCAAGGTGGGTTCCAAAAGTGCATTAGGTCTTTTTCCTTCAAGTTCCTTACTTGTGTGGCTGGGGATGGAGTGGGCGAGGACAGCTGCAACACACTGTTCTGAGGCCAGGTCAGAAAGATGGCATAGACAACTGCTCCTTTGGAAGTGTACCTAAGGCAGGAAGAGTTCACTAAGGTGAAGAGCCCACAAGAGAGACCAACTATGGCCCAACCTGGCAGCATGAGAACACTGGCTTGCCCACTGTCACTCCACAGGGGTCACCTACTTTCCCCTCATTCCAAACTCTCTCACTTTGGACCCATCAGAAAGTGCTGGCTGATAAAACCCAAACAAAGAAACAAAGTCCACACACGCTGCCTAAAAGCAAATGTCATCAGTCCTTGCCTCAGACTGTGGTCAATGCATCAGATGAGCTGCCATGTGATGATCTTGTCAATGCTCTGCATTTCTAGACTGAACACATTTGGGCACACTCAAAACTAACAGCTCTGTTCTGTAGCATTTCTGGCTCTTGATTCACTCACTGTGCTTTTCTCAGAAAGTACAACAGTTGGGTAACAGTGAGCAGGACTGTTATCTAACATCCTAAAAGCAAATATCACAGCATTTTCAGATTATATGCATTGAAAGAAACTAGCCATCACCACTACTTAAACAGTCCTGACAGCAATGGTATGGATTTTTTTTCAAAGAACGACTGGTTTTTAAATCACATAAGATGGCTGAAGATCTGAATTTTATTCCCTTCTTTCCACACGATACTCCTTAGATTACATGTGGCAGTAAGTGAGCAGTTCAGCTGTAGGATATTCCCTAAAAGCCACCTGTGCCTAATGGCAACCCTTCAGAAAATTCCAAATTTAAGAAGCAGCATCAGCTTTGCAAGTCCCAGCCCAGCTGAGCAATGGAATCCTTACCAGATGGTGTCTGTGCTGTTCTCCATCTGTACTCTCCATGGCTTTGACTCATAAATTGCCTCCCCGTTAGTGCCCAGCCACCTCCCGAGGGCCAGAAGCCTTTCTTGGAAGATGGGAACAATCACTCCCTCTTTTGTAGGTCCCACATTGAGAAGGTAGTTGCCTCCAAAGCTCACTGTTTGCACTAGTTCCTGTGGCAGACAAATTAGGGTAACAATTGCATTTTTTTCACTTCTGACAACAAAGAAACTTGAGGAGTGCTTTGTCCTCATTAAATGCTCCTTTAACTCCACTTGCCTGTATGAAACCCATGCCAGCTCTTTCTCCAAGCAGCAGAATGAAAGAAATCTTTAATTCTTGGTTAAGTCCCACACCTGTTCATTTGAATTCTGATTTCTTACCTCTATGATACTGGCTACATCCATTAACTCATCAATGTGCATGTTGCTTCGATAACCCCAGGAGAGCTTGTCAATGGAGGAGCACATCTCCCACTTGTGAGCAAGCAGGGTCCCTGGCTTGTATTTGTCAGCACAGTTGTAGAAGCCTCCGTGATGGCAGGAGCAATTATTACACCAACGATCGTTCACAACAACAGTATCCTGGAAGAAGAAACATAGCTCAGAAAGGAAAACGTTTTGTCTGGGACTTTTTCAGCTTGCATCCATCTGTCCTGAATTACCTGAGGCATCCAAGTTAGCAGGACAAGTACTTATCCCCTGGGATTTGAATCCCAGAGGCTTCTTTTAAAAGCACAATGTGGACTTTTTAATTCTGGTGAAAGAAATAAACAAGTTTGGCACCTGCCAAGAAGGTTACTCATTTGATCGCATTCATCTCACTGCTGCCAGACCTTCCACACCTATACAATGCTGCAGGCCATGAGGGACAGCTGAAGGTTTTACCTTGACAGGACTGTCGTTATACAGCCAGGCAAGGAAGGAGGTAGAATTCCAGTATAAGTCTGGAGCTTCCCAGTCTCCATCTGACCAAATCAAATCTGGTTTATACCTAACAGAGAGATTAACATTATTTCAGAATGGCTTATCTGCTCCTACCTCAAAAGAAGCACTTCAGAGTTTCTTGTCCCTGGAGGCCACTTTCACTTCCCATCACCTGACATTACCAGGGGGTTCATGCTATCACTTCCCACTTCAGAAAAAGCTGCAAGTGACTTTCTTGTAGCAGCAGAGTGATTATCACGGCTCAAAGCACAGGATGCAGTTCTTCCAAATACAAAAGACTGCATCTTAGAGGCAGTTATGAGGTACATCCTTTACCTGCTACAATGGCTATTGTGAGCAGCATGTGTCCAAGCCTGGTAGTTTGGTCAACTGGGAAATCAAAGGAGGGATGCAGATTCACAGTGAAATTGCTCTTCTACTTTACTAAACAGCTTGCTGCTTTTTCTGCTCTCAGAAAAGGCATATTAAAGGGCATTTCTCTTGCACGCAAGATTTGCCCCTACCTTACTGTACAAGTTAGGTTACTGACAAGGCAAACGTGAATCTCTTTTTTAATTACCTCAAATCATTACTGCTAAATATACAGATTTCCTTTGGCAAAAATTAGCATTTATCATCGCTGGTCTCTGCATCTACTTTTAGCATCTTTCTCGATAGTATGAAAGCCAAGAACTGCTGTTACATCCTGACTGGTTGCAGCTCTTACTTTAAGACAAGATCATAGAGTTCTGGCATTGTCTTCTTTAAAACAAAGTTCTGGGTCTTGAAGCCGCTTTCTTTGTCAGACAGATAGAGAGGGTTAAACCACTCTAACAGAGAATGATATAGTCCGTAGCGTATGTTGCTGAAGGATAGAAAACACAAAGGAAAGAGTTAGGCCAGCAGCAGGGATTGAGAATCAGTGCATTATTATTTAACGGTTTTGTGACTTTGCAAGCACTGTTTTCATATCAAACTCATCATTTTCCACTGCTTGCCAAGAACAGCCAGGAGAATTCAGTGCATGAAGATGACAAAGCAGCAAAGTGTAGCCATACTTCTCTCTGAGCGCCTGTCCCAGCTCTCCCACAAGGTCGCGGTGGGGCCCCATGTCCAAAGAATTCCAGTTCCAGGACACAGGAGACCCCCAGTTGGTGAAGCCTTCATGGTGCTTTGTGGTCAGCACCACGTACCTGAGGGAAAAGTTCTGGATCAGGGTGACAAAGGAACTGAGTTATCCCCAGTCCTTGCTGACAAATCCAAAACTACAAAAGCAAGAAACTGAGAAACCACGCTGTGAGGGGTCCTCGTTAGAAGCCCTTTCCATTATCCTTAAAATTTAAAAGAGATGACACGAATAGTAAAGTTTTTAAATGGGTTTTAATTCTGGAAAAGATGACCAACTGAGACTTGCGAAGCAGTAAGAGCAGCCGTCCCCTTGCACTTCAGGCACGACCTGTCAGGGACCCAAGTCCCTTGGGGATCCCCAGAAATGGTCTCGTCCCTCACGGACCCCCAGACGTGGCCCCATCCCCTCAGGTACTGCAGCCACCGGCTGGTGCTGCGCACTGACCTGGCACCGGCCCGCTGGAAGAGCCGGGCCCACTCACGGGGCTGGAAGTCGTGGGCGGTGAAATGGGGCGCGAAGTCCGCGTAGGAGGTGGCGGGCGGGAAGCGTTGCTGCACGAAGTGCTCGTAGTCGGCGCGGTGCTCCCCCTGCCAGTGCCACCAGAACCACTCGGAGCCCCAGGCTGGGACGGAGAACACGCCCCAGTGCACGAACACCCCCACCTTCGCCTGGTCGAACCAGGCGGGCAGCGGCCGTGCGTCCAGGCTGGCCCAGTCCGGGCCGTAGCGCGGCGCGGCGAGCCCCGGCCCCAGCGCGGCCGCCAGCCACAGCAGCCCGCCCGCCGCCATGCTGCGCCTGACGTCACACGGCCGCCGCCACGGCTGCCGAGGCAGAGGCTGCCGCCATCGCAACCCACAGCCCGTCAGTTCGAGGCTGCGGCCCGCCCAGCAGCGAGGCCGGGGGCTGCCCTCCATCTCCAGCCGCCTCTGCCCCGCGACACGTCCCTGACTGCTGCCTGCGCTCCGTGAGGAGGAAGGGAAGGCTGAAGGGTTGGTGCTCTTGCTTCCCTGAGATCGCTGAGACCCCTCACTCCTGGCTCGTGTCCCCTGCGTGTTCCAGTTGAGCCAGGGCAGAGTCCAAAGGCCTCGCGCCTGTGCCCAGACAGCCCAGGCAGGCCTGGCCCTGAGGCAGCCCCGTGGCCCTCAGGGCACTGGTGAAGGGCCCTGAAGGTTTTACAGCCAAAGCTGCCGCTTCTGTGTGATTTGCAAAAGAATCTGTTGCCTCAGAGGTCAGTGGAAGAAAAGGCTGAAACATTTCTTTAATGTTTAATTGTATAATATCCAACAATGTGTGGTTGAGTTTAGATTAAATTTCTGTAAGTCTGCAAGGCAGGCATAAATAGGTGTAATGTTACTACACAGTGATGCGCTGCTAGAGCTTTGCTTACAGCGCTTGTGTAACATTGCCTGTGCCAAGCAAAGGGCTGGGACAACACTCTGTGAAATGTTGAGGCAGACATAACTGAGCGCAAGGAAAAGTGTCAGGTAGCTACTGGCAGGCAGACAGGATTTGCTGTTCTGGGGTATGGCATCACCCTCTGCTTTGTGTGTTACACGCCATGACATGGCACTGGGTCTTGGCAGCCCTGGGAATGGCAGTCTGTACAGGTCTGGGATATCTGTGTCCTGGTGTCTAAGAAAACATCAGTAGGAGCTGACTCCACGACCCGATCTGTCACCTCCCAGGACTTCTACAAGGACAGAAAATAAAAGCAATCCAAAAGAGAAATGATCTACACTCCAACTGAGCTCAGACTTCCTGGCACTGCATCCCTACATGACATGTATGTCCTCACAGACAGTCTCTATCATGGAGGACCTGTGAGCACACTCTGCTTCCGGGCTGTCACTTGAGGTCCTCAGCTGCTTCCTGCATCTGGAAAGGTACATCCTCAGGGAGGAATACACCTCCTTGCTCCGCAGGGCATAAATAATGGGGTTCACCATGGAATTAAGCAGGCAGAGCGTGCTGCAGAAGGCAAACACCTTGCGCAGGTGATTGTTCAGACTTACAAAGATGCTGTAAATCATGAGAATTAGGGCCGGCAACCAGCACAGCACAAGGACGGTCAGCACCATGATGAAGGTCTTGGCCAGCATGATGTCCATCCTCATCCTGGCGCTCTGCTTTCCCACATGCACCTGGTGTTTCTCCATGTATGTCACATGCTGGTGAGCCCTCCACAGCACATGTGTGTAAGCACAGACTATACACCCCAGCAAGATCATGACAAGACAGATCCAAGTGGACAGATAATTGTTGTCCACAAAAGGGAACAGCTCAGAACAGGCTGAGTTGAGTGTACAGCAGTTCCAGCCCATCAGAGGCAGGAAGGCATTGGCCACACATATCAGCCAGAGCACTCCTAGCGCTGTCCATGCTCTCTTTCTCGTCACAAGCAGCTTGTATTTGGAGGGGCGGATGATGGAGATGTAGCGGTCCAGAGCCGTTAGCAGCAAGCTGCTCAGGGAGGCCGTGAAAGATGTGTTCACCCCTCCCAGCTTCAGCAAGAACAATTCTTTAGAAGAATCAGTTTCATTAAAGACATGGAAGTTAACAAAACTTCCTACAAAGATGATGCTGGCCAAGAGGTCTGCCAAGGCCAGGCTGCTGATGAAGATGTACGAAGGCTTTCTCCTTGTACCAGGGGAGGAGAAGATCAGATAAAGCACCAGACAGTTCTCAAAAATGCACAGTGTTCCAAAGAGGCCACAAAGTGTGGCAATGCTGATCTTCTGTGCTTGTGTGCTGAGCACCATGAAGCATTTCATGCTCTTGGAGCTCACAATGCATTTGGAGGCATTTTCATACATCTCACAATTATCCATTATACTTAACTGGAGCCAGGAGCTTGCAGGGAGAGTTTTGGCTTCCTGTACTCCAACTGCTCTGAAAAAAAATTGAGGGGAAGGTGAGGGATAGCTCAACAGGAACACTACAATTAGTAAATTTGTTTCCTTTAGTGGTATCCCTTCTTTTACACAAAAGGAGATGATCCTGTTGCAACCTACTCTCAGGGAAATGCAGTGTGATTGGGAAATGCCTGCTAGGAGTGCAGAGCTGCTCAGTGCATGCTGTGGCAGCCAAGTACTGTTTTTTCTCTATACTTCTGCAGTTTAATGCATTCAAATCCCTTCATCTTTACGACACTGAAGAGCTTGTTCTCATTCATCAAGGACAGCAGATGTCTTTGGAGGCCACAACAGATAGCAGTGACCAACACTCTAGAAAACCACATCCACCACATTTTAGCAGCAAGAGACATTTGTACTTGTCTCCATTACTTCCTTCCCCACTGAGTACCCTGTCCTCTGACTGCTGCTGCGGTTCCTGTGCTTCGCAGCAGTTGCAAACACCCATCAGCCTGTGACGTTGTGCAGAACCCACTGAGAAGACCCTGACCCCACACTTTGCTCCCATCTGCCCATTGGGGTACAAACATTGGTAGCTGCAGGGTATTCAGTTGCTTGTTACACCCGCATTTTGATCCTGATTTGCTTTTCTTGGCATATTGGACTGGAGTAGTCCTGGACTTTGGGATGAAATATAGCTTAGCATTGCAGCAACCTGCTCTCCTCTTACGTCAGGTTCTGGCATGGGGCAACCATACAGGACCACAGCTATTGCACTCCAACCTCAGCATCTCATGTTTCTTGCAGCTCTTCACAGAACATTACAGATGCGGCAGTAATTACTCAATGTCCTTATTAAATCTGACAGCCCTTGTCTCTGCAGAGGGATGCACTGTGCAGCCAGGTGGGTTTTGACACATCTCGGGACTCACCAGGTTACACTCCCTCCTTGGGTACCCAAAACTCCCTCAGCAAAACCTTGCCATCCAAACCAAGACATCACTTAAGCAAATTCTACCTTGACATCTATTAATTGCAAACAGCTTTCCCTTTCTTAAATTCTCCATACCTGCATTTATGTAGTGTAAGAACACTACAATGCAGTGTTCAAGAAATGTTTAGATATTGTACTACGGGACACAGTCTAGTGGGGAAATGATAGGTGGATGGTTGTACTTGATGATCTTGGAGGCCTTTTCCAACCTTAATGATTCTAGGTTCTATGACTCTATACTGAGGAGACTGGAAACCACTTGAACAAAAAGCAAGTGCCTGTAGGTAAGCAAAGTGCTGTCCCCTGTGTAATGTTGCGTCAGGGGAAACTTTGGTTACAGTGGCAAAATAACTCCCATACTGACTTTTCTGGGACAGTTTCCTCCATTAACCCGATAGAATTAAGAGAAGCCCTTAGGTTCAAAATGCAGCCACTTTGCTGGGCTTGTAGACATCAACCAGGCAGCCCAGACCTCCTCTTCCCATATTTGCTGTGTCTCAGGCTGAGTGACAAGGATAGCTCTCTGCACTTTGGACTGAACTCCCCCTTGTCTTTCTTCCAACTTTGGTGTCTGCAAGGGAAGGCATAGGGCCTTGTTCAGCCCTGGGTCTACCTCTTTGCACAGTTTTGGGACTATTTTGGAAGTAGTCGTTCCCTTTGGCTAATCCCCCTGGCCACATTAAGCAATGCCCAGCAGTTATTTTCCTGACATTAAAAACTCTATGGCACAAGTGCCACATTGAGGATTATTTGCTTTATTTGTTCTCAGTCACTATCTGCCCACGTGTGACTGCAGTAACAGCGTCCAAAGCACACTATTGCATTGCTGCAAAGCTGCAATACTGTGCCAGCATGAAGCACACGACATGGCAGAGCAGTGCTCTACTGAAATCCCACATGGAGCCAAACACAACACCAACCAGCAGAATGCTTGGCCTCAGAGCTCAGCACCACTCATGTCTGCAAAGCATTTGGAAGTCTCTCCAGTATATTTAATGTAAATATTTCTTAAAACCAGCTGTAAAGAATCAGTCTTCAGTCTGCTACTGAAACACTTACCTTCTTTTTGCTCTTGTTAAGAAAGCATTCATCCAAAAAAAAAAAAAAAAAAAAAAAAAAAGGAAAAGAAACAAAAAATCCACCCTTCGTTACACAGTGCAGTTAATGCTGGATATTACCAGACTTCTCCCCCACATCAGCACTTTGGCTCGCTGTAAACGAATGATGCTTCACCCTGAGAAAGAGACAGTGCGCTATGGGATGTCTCTGGGGCTGGGGCTCGCTTCTCACCTCTTCCTGTGGCCGGGCCTTCCCAGCTGCAGTCCAGGGCAGCTCCTGCAGCTGCAACTGCTTCCCCCTTCTTTCACAGCTCTTCTGCTCTCATCTGGGCTCCATGCATAATTACGTGTTATTCTCCTGTGCTGCAAACCCGTCAGTACACATCCTTTCTTGCTCTCTTTCGCATTCTTTTAGTGAGTGTGTGGTTTTTCCTTCCCCACTTCCCCTCTGTGTCTGTGTTCTGCTGGCCATGAATGCCATCTTGTATAGCCACGCTCATGTGTGCCCAATCCCCATTGGTTCTGCTATGCTCACGCAGTTTCGAGGCAAGAGACCTCCAGGATCTTCTCCTGATTTCTATGACGGAATGGAAGAGGAAGGGAAGGAAAAGAGTCAGAAGGCAGATAATTTGTGTTCAGCTGTCACACGCTGGGAACTGCTATGTGAGCCTTTGGGCCCCATTCACGGCACGAATCCTCCTCTCTGTGCCACTGAGGCCAATTCTCTGTGCACCAGCATGCTCTGCTGATGCCAGAAGAATAAGGTTGTATTTTCATTGTAAATGGCAGGGAAAGGAAATAGCCTAAGTGACACAGTTGGGCCTGCAGACAGGACAGACCACAGCCCAGAGAATGAGGACGGCGCTCCCACTGCCTGGGGCTGCCTGTGCAGCAGGATCTGTGCTGCAGAGCCAGGACGGGAGACGGTGACACGGAGCAGAGCTGCTCCTGGAAGCCCACGGGCATCACAACAGTGGGAACGTGAGAGTTTGCTCCCAAACCGAAGGATTTTGCCCCATTGCGGGCGGCTGCGGTGCGCAGCGCTCGGCCGCCCCCGCCCGGCCAGAGCTCTGCTCTTCTGTCACGGTGCGGAGGAAAGAAACGCTTTCTCTGCAGCACATGCAGAAGCACGGTCCGACCTGCACTTTGATACGCCCTGGCAGGATGACTTCTATAGCCTGAGGGCTTTGTGTTCGCCTCCAGCTTGAGTTTGTTCCCTTATCTGCAGCTAGCACAGCTGCCAGCAGCCCTGGCTTGGAAACTCCCCACTCCATGCCAACTGCTGAGATCAGTGGTCAATTCTATGTTCCCACAAAGGTCACCTTCTGCTTTTTTTTTTTCTTTTTTTTTTCCCTCCTCCTGTTTGTTTTGTCAGCTGGCACTGAACAAACATAGAACCAACCACAGCATCACTCCTGGAGCACCCCCTAAGCTCTGCTGTGCTTAAAGGTCTGCTTCTATCACCTGGGGTGGCTGAGTTCAGTGCATCCATCTAATTTAGCAGTACTGAAGGTAGCAGCACACCCAGGCACCAACGAGATGGTGCTTCTGAAGAAATGCCGAGGAAAAAAAAAAGAAAAAAACCAACACAGCATTATTTTTTTCTGCATACTGTGGCTCAGAAGCAGAGCACGCTGGGCTCATCCTCCATCCCCACAGGCAGTGCCTGCATCAAAGGGAACTTCCTGAGAACTGTGTGCACTGCAAGGGTGGAAATGCTTTTCCTGCTGATAGGAAGTCAGTTGGTTTAAATGGGCTGAGGGCTTTCATGAGCTCTTGTGACTTACTGCTGTATGTTCCAACAGGAGTTGTGAGATGGTGAATAGCTGGGAGTATCTCAGTTTGGAGCTAATGAAGCTCTGAGGAATTAATGGAACATTTATGCAAAATGTTGTCTCCTGCAGTGCCCTGTTTGAGGGACGGGTGGTACAGACGAGGACCTCATGGCAGGAAGAGCCTCATTCAGTTGACACGGTGGCAGAAGTGTGGTAGAAGAGTAAGGCAGATCCCTGGCGAGGACCGAGGTCTGTGTTGGGCCTCCAGGATGCAGCGGCATCCGGGGCTCCGTGTGCCCACAGCTTCAAGTTCCTTTCGTCCACTGCCGAAAGCTCAGCGCAGGCAGCGCCGCGGGGCTGGGCCCCGTGAGGTGATGCTTCTGCTGATCTGAACGCAGCGATCGCGACCAGAGCTGAACGGTGCCGTGCAGCACAGGCCGGGGCGCTTCTGAGGCTGAAGTGTTCGGTTACAGCAGGCCTTCTAACAGAGAACCGCCGCAAGGCCCTCAGACATAACAGCGGGTGCTGGGAAGTCGAACGATAGGAGAAAAGGGAGCGTCCCCAGCCGGCTCTATGCGAACGCGGAGCGGCGCCGCTTCCGGGCACGCACGAAGCGCCGCTCCCGCGCTGCGGGGATTCGAACCGGACCCCGCCCCATCATGGCGGTGGGCGGGACTTGTCTCTCATTGGCTGTAAGGAGCGCGCATAGCGCTCCTATTGGCTAGAGCACGGCGACCTGGGAGGCAGGAAGAGGGGAGAGGCTTTAAAAAGCGACGGGAGCGACCGCCATTTTGTGTGGGAGACGGAGAAGCGGCGGTGCTGCTGGGCTTTGCTGCGCGGAGGCTCGGGGAAGTGACGGCGGTGAGCGGCGGAGTCGGCTCGGAAGGGCCAGCGCGCGTCTGTGGCTGCAGGCGGACGGCACGGACAGAAGTCGGTAAGGAGGGGCGCTGTGGGAGGCCGGGTGCCGCCATGTTGTGCTCGCGACGCCGCGCCATTGTTGGGATCAGGGCGGGGGCGGGAAGGGGAGCGCGGCCCCTGAGAGCGGAGCTGAGGAGGGGGCGAGCCGTGGGCCGAGCGATAAATTGCTTAAGAGCTGTCGAGGAATGACGTGACGACGAAGGGCCGACAAAGGTGGGAAAGCGGCCCGAGGCAGTGGCGGGGGTTGGCGGTGCGGTGCGGTCCGAGCTGCGCCCGCTGCGTGCCGCCAGGAGTTCCGGCCCTCGGCCTCCCCGCAGAGCGCTCCCGTTGAATTCGGCTTTTTTTCAATGTGAGAACAAGGATGAGGTTCTTGATCGTCTCTCCATAATTAATAATGCTCGCTGGACGAAGATGTCAGCAGCGCAGTGAAAATGCTGTTCTCTGTGGAATGCTAAGTGTGACATTAAGGTTAATGTAAATAAAGTAAAACCAGTGCTGCCAGGTTTGAAGTGAGGTTTGAAGTATATTCAGCTTTAACAACTAAGCTGACACAACTGACTGTTAATTCTGTGAATTTTATCTTCATCTGATGATGGTTTTTTTTTTTGTAGTTTCAAACTTGAAAGGGAAAACAATTGTTCTTGTGCCTGATTTCAGACTCTCTTTTATGCAGTTGTGACTTCTCCCCTTGGAGTTTCGTGCCGAGAATCTGATGTTGGGCTCGGCTGCCTGGCTGAATACAGCGGATTGGCCCATGAAAACCTCTGTTCCTAGCCAAAGGAAGGAGTGTAGCGAAAGACAGCACTTACTCTTTCAGGCTTGGAAGCAAGAAAGGGGGCAAGAATTGGAGAGTGTGAAATCGGAGAAGACTACTGAAAGGTAAATGAGATGTGGAGGGAATAGGATGAATGCAGGAGAGTCAGCATCAAGGTACCAAATATGTGATAGCATTTTGCTTTTCCTTCAGAGATCCAGTTACAAGTGGCTCCTTCACATTTGAATGTTTTCAGTTCACTTAGGGTTTTTAGTTTGTATTCCACAGGTGTGCTCAGGTCTGCCTCTGTGTGCTACCCCCTTGTCTCCTTCCAGAAAAATCTGTTCTGGAAAGTAGATCTCACCCCTACATTGCCTTGACTGACTGCGTAACTACTTAGGAATATCAGGAATCAAAATAGTCTTTTTTAGACTGGGGCATGCTTTTACCAGTGCAGATTTCACCCAGATCTCTAAGTATAACGTGGGCTTGGTTTAAATGTCTTAAAGATTAAATACTAACACTTTTCATTTGACACTGTGTTTTGTGAACAGCATAACTTTCACATTTTCCTAGTAGCTAGACATAGCTGTGCATTGATAAAGGTCTACATACATTAAGGACTGGTCTATATACAGTTCCTGAAGGATGGATCAATGCATGATGACCAGCAGGTCAGCCATTAGCAGCAGAATTGTTAAGACAAGCCATTTAGAGGGATTATCTTCCAGTAGGAAGATACAGTACACTATAATTCAGTTTTCCTGGGTTTAAAAAAGAAAAATCCAAACTTTTCCCTTTCTTTACAGGTGACATTTAAGTTGAAAATGGGTGGTGGGGAAAGGTTCAACGTTCCAGTTCCCCAGTCTAGAAATACTACCAAGAACCATCAACAACTTAAAAACAGGCAGAAGAATAAAGACCAGAATTCACAGATGAAGAAAACCTATATGAAGAAAGAAAGAGGACATGGATGCAACTCATTGTCTGGTGCATGGCAGGCCATGCAGAAGGCAGGAAAGAACAACAGTGATTTCCCCTGTAATCAAAATTGGAGTCCTAATTTGTCAAATTGTAACCTATTTTTCTCACCTCAAGCCAATCAGAACTATGCTGGAGCAAAGTTCAGTGAACCACCCTCACCTAGTGTTCTTCCTAAGCCACCAAGCCACTGGGTACCTGTTTCTTTTAAACCTTCTGACAAAGAAATAATGACATTTCAGCTTAAAACATTGCTTAAAGTCCAGGCTTGAGATGGAACTTCAAATTTTTTATAGTTATTTAAATTTACAGGGCTCCAAATTTGAGAATAGTTATTCAGAACTGCAGATGCACAGGTAACAGGACTAGATGTTCTTGCTACATATAAATGGAAGAGAAGGGGATAGGTGGGGAAGTTTACATTCCCAGTGTTTTACCTCAGAAGTTGTGTACTTTGTTGATCTTGCTGTTACATAGGGAATTTCTCAATTAATTTGGTTAAATCCTAAACTGTCACCATTTACTGTAAGAGTAAATGAGACCGCCCCTAAAAATTGAAATTGAGAGTCCTTTTTGTTAATGGCTTTGGAAGACCAGCTTTTACTGAACTTAATGCAGCATTAACTGGAAAAAAAAAAAAAGCACTGAAAGCTTTAATCGGGTACTCTGCCTTTTAACATAGTATCAGATTTTCTAGTTAAAACTCTTCTGAGCAGAATTTCCAAGCAGTGTTATACCCAGCTGCTAGTGAAAATGCAAAGATACTCATTTTTTTCATACCTGTGAGATTTGACACTCAAGCTTGTGACTAAAATTTAGTTTTAGGAAACATTTTCACATGTTCTTGAAAAGGTGGAAGAACACTTTAAGGAGGTCTGTATTTCAGTCTTGTTCCAGCAGTATTTCATCAGAACCTCAACAAGGTAGACTGCGCCAGTTAATGACACACTTTGCATTGCCAATGACTGCCAAAAAGATCTTCCAAAAATTCTTTCTATTCTGATGCACTGATAAGTTCTAAAAAAAATTTTTTCTATCGTTTTCTAATTGTGAGAAAGCTGGAGTGGTTACTTAAGATAACTTTAAATTGGTTACCCTATAATTATTTTGAGTTACAATACCTTGTGTAGGTATACAGTGTTTTCATAGGGAAAAGAGAGCCATGTAAATAAATGTAATACTTTGTAGCATATGTAAATTTATGCTGGGCTTTCCTACACAGAGGTATTTTTAGAGCAAAACTGGTAAATGTAAGATGACCACGCTGAGTGTGTGGCCTGATCTAAAAAACATAATAAAAAATTATTTTGTTAAACACCAAAGGACATTTGTGGCTGTAGCCTTGGACTTAATATACAGTGAATGTGTACATCTTAATTGGTCATGGGATCATTTTTAAAATAAATGCAGTGCAAAAGATAATTATTTAGAAATTTGTAGTAAAATTTAAAAAAAATGCTTAAACTTAAGATACTTATGCTCTGAATGTTGTGCTTATAATCAGACTGGGTGTCCCACAACACAAAGGACAGAGTTTGATGACACTGAAGTATTGTTAAAATGTTTGCTTCTAAAATGAATCAGTGCTACATTTTGTCCCAGTATTTACTAAAATTTGTGAAGTTTGGTTATTGGGGCAGTTGTCAACATGTTGATTTCAGCGCTGTCACAGTTCAGCTGATCCTATAAACACAACTGAACTGTAATAATTAGAGTCTGAGATTATGCAAAAATCCAGTAACAACTGAAAAAGTGGTTTAACTTGAAAGGGAATTTTGCTGATTATGAAATGTTACTTAAAATGTTTTTCTGTGCATTCAGATGCAGTAGCAGCTGGTTGAATGCTTACAGATCTGTTATTCAAAATGTGATGGAATTGGTTGTCTTTAAACTCAAGTCTTTCTGATCTGGACCTTTACCACTTTAAGAGCTGTACCCCAGTTGTAATTGTGTATACTCTATTTCAAATTGTCATTTACTGCATGTGTACAAATTGGAAGTGAAAAAAAATAAACTTTCCCCCCAAAAAGTGTTTTATTTTAGGATGGTAGCGGAAAAGTGGGATGGCATTCTAAAAAGAATGGAGTGCTATAAAGTAATGACTGCATGGTCTCTAGTCTATGAATGCCAGAGGAACCTGGAAATTACTTAACAGTGAAGGATGTTTTTTGAATTCTCATTCATGTCTTGCCCGTGATTTATGAACACAGAGCTCAATTCTTAATTCCAATGGAATTAAGAAAAACTTAATTGCCTGTTAAAGGGCTGTCAGGCTCTGCTCCAGAAGGCTGGCTCGCAAGCAAGACAACCCAGTCTGAGCTGATGCAGCTCAGATTTAGCTGAGTAGAGCTGCACTCATGCTTTCTGCTACCTCTCATAAAGTGGCTGGCTCAAGAGCTCTGAGCTAGAGGGGAAACATCCTTGATTATTTCAGTGCTTAGTGACCATTCGGCAACAGTCTACAGCTGTATTAATTAAGTCAGAAGGTGCTCTCAAGTTATAGTCAAAACTTGTACATTTTATTCCCAATTCACAGGGTTATTTGCACAGATGGAACACAAAACTCCAGAAGAAAGAATGTGTATGAATAAAACATTAGCATCTTTTGATCAAACACACTACAGGGTACAGAGTTTTCCCTTCCTATTATAGTCTCATCAGTAAGAGCATCTCTAGACAATTATTATAGCAATGGACTACAGACTTTTTAAGCATGTTACAAGATAAATGGAAAAAAAACCAGCAAATATTAATGGGTGATTATGTCCTAAAAGTGTCTAAATTTTTCCTTTGTACTTCAAACCGTTATCTGCAACACTCCTGCCAAAAATCATATAGCAGTGCTGCAGCGTATATCAATCCAGATGGCCTCTGGATATATTCCAAGCTGTTACCCCAAACTAAACATTAAGGAAAAAAAAAAAGCTCTTTCCAAGAGCAGAGTTCAAAATAACATTTAAACTGAAAATTTCCACTTTGAATAAAGCCATTATACTGCACATTTAAACATATTTAAAAGACATAGAAAGGATAACATTTAGCTTTCAGAGACCGGTCTGTCATAGTCCCTAGTTTAAACACCCAGCTACTTAACCACTAAATTTAAGATTTTTAATTATCAGTTGGGTGCATGGACTTTTAGTGAAAAAGAAGTTCCAATAGAGCCTTCTATTACTGCTGAGATAAATCAATATTCTGCAAATATTTTGGAGTACAGCCATTACTTTCAGCAGAATTTTACATACTACTTCAATTCTACAAATTTTGCAGGAATGACAAGATCTAGTTTACCACAGAAAAACATAATTCCCACCATTCTTGAGACTCCAAAAGAAAGATGCTTATACATGATCTTTTGCAGCCTGCATGTTCTTGCATTCCAGCTGTGCATAACCTGCAGGTAGCTTGCATGAGACAGGCTACTTTTTTTTTTTTTTTTTTTAAAGCAGGAATAGGATACCTGCATCAAGGAAGGGAGATGTTATCTAGATGGGCTGTGGCTTGACTTGCATGAATGTGTAAACATTCCCTGCCCTTTTTGGCCACATCCTGCTAACTCGTCCCCAACTGAAAGGCCCACAGAACAGCTTCTTCACAATTTTTCCATGGGAGCAAGAACTAGGACAACATCTTTATTCATGCACTCTTGAAACATCGTGGGTTTGTGTTCGGCTTTTCTGGCTTGTTCATATACACAAGTCAAGTCAAAGTTTAGTCCTACCTCTGGGAGAGAAAGAAAGAACCATCAGAAGTGTCAGATACTACATTATACTTGCAATGAATTGGATTTTCAAAACAAAAAAAAATTAAACTGTGCTATATACAAATGTTGAGCTACACAATATAAGGACATGCTGACACAATAATTAAGGTATGTCACTATTACTCTTTCAACACAAATTAGAAACAGCCTGGACTACAAAGATGTTCTCCTTCCTCCCTGTAGCTGTAGTTCTGGCTGGACTAATGTGAACTTTAGGTGCAGCAATCCTCTGCAGGCTGCTGATTAAAACACAACTGCACACTCCCAAGAGAACGGTGAACCACTTAAGCAGTATTTTAGTTCTGAAAAGCATATTAACTTCTAGAAGCTTAAGAAGTGCGGGTTTTCTGCTGTTGCAAGCCATTTCTATGCACAACTACGATATTCACAGCTCAGTGACTGGTAAGCCCACTCTTACACATCCTAAGCATTCAAGTGATTCTCAGAATAGTTTTTATTCCGTGGCTGACAAAGGACTACTTGTATATACCACAGGTGCCAGGAGGCAGCTTGAATTCTAAGCTCCAAAGTTGCTAGAGAACCACTGCTGGCATTTTTTTTTAATATGACAAATGTAAAATGATGAGCCATTGCGAGAAATTTGGTTATATGTGAATCTTCAGTCACTGATTTTCAGTAGTTCATAATGTGACTAATATCTGAATTAAAACCATAGGGGAGCCTATCCAGTAACAATGAAAGTTAACCAAAAAGAAATGTCAATATATTAGACTAAAGCATATGCTTATCATTCTTATTTCATCTAGTACCCCTTTAAAAATAGAAAATGATATTTACTCAGGCAACAAATGATAAATTACTGACTTTACTGAAATACTATAGTAAGGATTTTACTCCATAGGGAATGCACAGCTCTTCCTAGCCATGCTTTGGAGTCAAATTCTAAAGCTACAATAATTCCAGTGGATCAGTATTTCCTTCATTTTTTTTATTACAGCATGTTTGCTAAATTTACAGCAAGCAGAAAATAAGCTGGGTCTTTAGTTATTTTGATCAAAACATTGATGTTTTAAAGGTAGTACACAATATTTGTTAAAAAGAACATATAAAAATACCTTTTTAGAAGCCTCTATAAGAAAGGAAATACAAAGTTTAATCCCACAACTTTCCTCTGCTAGAGCTGCACACTACTGCTACAGTTTTAAATAGACTTTATGCTGTTTTTAAACTATACATCCAGGAAAGTCTACAAAACTAAAGGAACGTGCATATAAATGATTGCATAGCAGAACATGAACATTAACTGCAAACAGTAAAGAAAAAAGTTAGAAATACCATCAAACGTACTAAGGTTCCTAGAATAAATCCCCTAAGCACGTTCTGCCACTAACATTTAGAAGCCATTTGCATTTCTTGAAATGCCCTGCTGAACTCACTAAAACCAAACCCTAAAACATTTCTCTAAAAATGATCTTTTTAAAATCTGTGTCTTCATACACTACTACACAGACAGTACGGAACACCGGGTGTCTGATGCTGGCTTTTTAAGACAAAGAAAAAAAAAAATGCCAAAAGCCATTTTCATAACAAAATATCTTGCCTTCTTCTAGAGAAATACTGTTAAGATTACACACTGGTTTTGTTATTTTTCACATTCAATTTACTAAATGTACTGTATTAGTGAAACTAAATAGCTAGAGATGCAGCTCTTGTTCATATCCAACTTTAAACACTTGTTCTTAAGTAAAATGAAATTTTGTAACCAAACCACTATCCATTCAGAGGAAGAAGTGATTCAGACTTGCTTGACTAAATGCTTCTCAATGTATAAAAGCAAGCCTTTTTTACTGGAGAGATGGCTACAGTTTTATACCTATGAATACACCAACTAACCACAGGAGTCATTGGCATAAAAGTTGAGTTCTTATATACTGTACACACACAACTTGAAACAATCTACTTGTATCTAACAGCAGGAAAACTAAGCAATTTCATGGTTAACTGCTCACTAGAATTTAGAATAGATACAAAAACTGCGTAAAATGTACACACAACCTAATATTTAGATGCTCTGCCATCTTCTGGAATCTGAATTTATTTTTCCATTTCAAGTGTGTCCCTTCCCCCCCCCTCCCCTCACACATTTAGTATTAGCAGCCAGGTCAAGAGCAGTGAAGCCTCTTCCTGACAAGTCACAACACTGCACAGTCTCTGACTGAGCTTCCAAGACCAACTGTCTCCCCGTGCAGTATATGCAGCGGTAGCACCATCCCTCCAGATGGCAGAGAAATTTCAAAAATCTCTCTCCACAGAGCTCCATTTACCAACCTACTTGTCACTGGGCATGGAGAACACAGAAACCTGCCTTTGAACAATGAAAACGTAAAATTACCAGTCTGCATTTCACAGCAGTCATTGTTGCGCTACAGCTGTCCAGTTTTCCATTCTATCACAAGGTTTAGCATTAAAGAACATGTTAAACAGCTGGTTTAACTGTTCAGTACAAACTGGTATCAATTGCTATGGGCATGACATTTTCAACAGGACAATGTTGCAAATTGCGACCAATCAAGTAATCACCAATATCTAAGCATTAAAAATGCAAATCTTTACAAAAATATACATTGAGACACCACAATCAATTCAGTAGCTGCCCATAACATGTAACCAAGAGGACATTCTCTCTCTCTCTCCCTCTGTCTCAGTGGCTGCTCCACGCTGTTTAAAACTTTAACCATTGTCTGCTACAGGGAAAACTGACAAAGAAAAGATTTTTTTTAGCACTGTTGCAACATCATATTCCTGATAATTTAAGTAAACTGAACTGTGTGTAAATGAGTCTTACATGCCTAAAATCAACATGGATTCACTATTAGTGGCCACTGGACTTGGGACTAGTCCAAGACCTTGATCTGGATTTTGACCTAGATCTAGAATGTGATCTTGACTGTGATTTGGATCTAGCTGGTTCTTTTTTTCTCGACTCCTTTTCATATCTTGAGCTGGACTTATAGTGTGTTTTAGAATCTGTTTTAGAAGTGCCTCTAGATTTGGTGTGAGATGCAGACCTAGACCGTGATTTAGCCTTCATTTCTTTCTTGGGCTGTGACTTGGATCGTGATCTTGAATTGGACTTAGATCTTGAAAAAGATCGATTGCGGTGTTTGAACCTATCAGAATAAAGGGGAGAGAGGAGATTTGAATGTAAAAACACTATTCTTAGACATCTAGTACATTAAAAATTGTTTACCATTTTTTTGCAGGAGAAACTTTTTTTTTTAAACCTACAGTTAGGGAATACAATGGTCTAGTTTTCAATGTAAAAAGCATAAAAGTTATTTTACCTATCATTGTCCGAATGGCTTCTGCTACGACGAGGTCTTCCAGTAGGTCTACTGCTAGAAAGGTACATCAAAAAAAGTAAACGGTGACAAATACCTATGCATGTATACAAGCGATTAATAATTTTTTTAAAACATGCATTTGCTTTTTAGTTATTTTTTTTGATGAACCACAAAACCATTTCATTCAGTGTCTGATTTGATGCAGCATGCAAGTACATAACTTCCACAAGATATTACAAAAAACAAAAACTCAAAATTTTTAACAATTAAATAGCCTGTGTGGTGTTTTTGTTCCAAGAGACTGCTGTGTTGTTGAAGCCAAACATACACTACACTTACTTTCTGGGACTATATGATCTTCTATAGCTGTAATCAAAAGAGCGACTTCTAGATCGTCTCCTTTCATAACTCCGGCTTCTAGATCGCCTGTATCTGTCATAGTCATCGTAACGAGAAGAACTGTATAGGTTTCTCCCCTCCTTGGCTTTCATTTGATTTGGTGCTGGAAAAAACAACAACAATACTTAACATTTAAAGTTTTTTTAAGAAGTACCCTACTTCCTTTTAGTGACAGCACTACTGCTATCCATATATTTGACATTTAGTAGAAAACCTGTTAGTGATTCTAGCAAAGATGCTTATGAAAAGGACAGAGATTGCAGTAAGCCACTTGCATTTTGCTGCTTTAAATGCTGGACAAGAGCATTGTTGCCTTGTGAGTAATACCAATCTAGAAAGAAAACAAACCCAAAAAACAACCCCCACACCACCAAAACAACACAAAAGACAGAAAAAAACCAGCACAAACAGTAACAACACTGGAATGCTTCACAGAGCCTGGAACACAGAATTGTTTCTGTAATGCGATTTCAGGCCACCTGGAAACAGTGACAGGCTGCCTGAAAAACTAAACGCATGAGCAAAACATCCCAGCATTCTTGAATTTACCTAAGCAGCTAACAGTGAATTAATTAAACATAGTACCACACATTAAACCTGATCCATAGTCTTAATTATTAAAAGTCAACTTATACAGAAACTGCAATTGATGATGTCACAGAGAAGTTTGATTCTAAAAGTATCCCTCTCCCCTATATAACAATGCACTTCACCCTGTAACTTTAATATTAAAATCATTAGATAGAATAAAAATCAGAAGTCGTCTTTTTTAACAAAAAAAGCACAGCTATCTTTCTATTGTATTAATTCCCATTTTCATTCAAATGCAGAAGACAGTTAATGTATTTTAAATGTATCATGCTGTACAGAGAGCTACTGTACTAACAGCTACAATTTTCATGATTTAACTGCTCCTACTGACAACACTAAAATAGACTAGCTAAATTTTTTGTTCAGAAACTTAAAAGAAATCCCAATGTTTACATACAGGACAGATGCTTGTTGTGCAGAGCACATCATTTCCATTGAGTTCAGTAAAAGTTAAATGTGCATGTTTCAAGTGCTACTTTGATAGTTTTAACTGAAAAATCTTGAAGGCACTTCTATTAACAAGCTGCACATGACTATTACAATTCTGCTCTATACCAGTAGGTAGGCATGTCTTATGCTCCTTGAAAGCATCTTTTCTTTAATATATGATATCTGTATCTACCTATATATTGAGAATACATTCATAAGTAACAGATAGAAAATACATAACAGTTATTTCTTCAGAAAACAAGACTTATTTTCCAAGTTGAAATGAGACGCTTTGAAATTAATTTTCCTGAAACCAAATGAAAATGAAGATATTACCTCAATCCTGGAAACCGGATCGCACTGGGAAATGTCAACAAAGAATCAAGAACACACTTAACCACAATATAAACATTGCAATGCATTAAAACTGGGTTACTCATTTTGACAGGTAAAATTTTTGAAAGTGTGTTCCTGAAAAAAAAAAAGTTTGACAGCTGCACAGATAGTTCTTAAGTACCTTCAGCTAGTAGCAAGAATTAGATTGTGGTGACTGTTTACATAGCTAGCTGTTTTTAATTAGCCAAGATACATTAATAACGTGTCTTCAATCCAAACCATCCTTTGATAAAAGGAAAAAACCACAATCACATACTATTAATATATCAGCAATAATGTATCATAACAATTAATAACAAGTGTAATGTCATCTGGTACTAAACGTTATGGCTAAAATCATAATCTGATGAAATACCCGGGGAGGCACTTACTCTTCCGATCGCCCTGTGCAAACTGGATTTCTATCTGCCGACCACAAATCCACTTTCGGTCCAAATTATGGAGAGCATCTTCAGCATCGCGGACATCTTCAAATGTGGGCAGTGTTAAGGTACTTGAGAATTTGAATAGTTTACAGATTTGGTATTGAGAAGAAATCAGTTATTTTCTAGTTTTACAGGCCATTATTTCTGGATGTTTTGTTCACATTAGTAAGTACTGCAGTTTTTTTTTTTTTTTTTTTTAATTAATTAACCACCAACTATCTGAGACTTCCTATAATAAAATTAAAAACTCACAATACAGCCATGAACTTACCAATCAGCAAGCAATTGCTATGCAATATCCTAATGTTTTTCTTCTTCCACTCGTAAGGAAGAAAACCGTATCCTTCTCAAAAATGCATTATTTGCTAATGGTGATTCAACTTTCTGCACTACATTCACTTTACTGAAAAGGAATCTTAGTTCTCAAGTTGCTAGGCACACAAACAATAGAAATCAATATTTGTCTATGAATTTTAAAATTGGGACGAAGCTTTCCTTTTAAGTTTAAATAACATAATGCCAAGGAGATATATACAGACCTGAAATAAAGGCATACACTAAAACCCCTGCACTACCAACGTTCAGGAACAGAATAATTACTAATTTTTATCTGTGAGATTGATTGCTACTTTAACTCACACACCTTCCGGCTATGGGGCAAAGAGCCAGTTGCCTTTCTTCTCACAGTAACTCAGTTCAGCAGCAGCAGCATCTATGCAGAAAACAAACTATCAAGTGGTAGGTATAAGTATCTCCATTACCAAAGAATGAATGCACTTTCATTCCAGACCACAGTTATGACAGCACTCACAATGTAACAGGTTTTGTCAATGGACTAAACCAGCATCATTCATCAAAATTACTGCTTACATGACAAACAGAAGAAAAACTGTTATTCTGTAGGATACATCAGGTATGACTCCTTTAAGCTTGGCCACCATTCAACTTCATCTTGACCTTTAACTCTTTAAGGGCTTGTCAGAAGGACTTGTCATGAGATGCTTGGCCAAAAATGACAGATGGCTTTATCTTTTACTTTGAAAAACAACCTTTTCCCCCTTTTGTAGATAAAGCGAAGCTTTGTCTCCCATTATGGCTTGTCCTTCTTCCAGCTTTTCTTTATTTTTTCTTTTCCCAAACTGTCCCTTCTCTTCAAGCCTGATCCTTAAGAGGTCTTTGGCTTGTCTACTTGCCTCAATTGTTGAACTCTACTCTAAAGGTTCTTTCATGCTTTCTCTTTGGGGTCGCCATTACTGTACAGCTTTACATTCTGAGGCAACAACAGAGGACAGTAAATTAGGGGACAATATTAAAGAAAGTTCACCTCATTTTTTATACAATCTGCTTTTGATCAAGTGATTCCAGTTCCCATTTGTTAAATTAACAATAAATACTAGCCACAGTTTGCTAAGCGCAAGTTTACTTACGTACCAGTTATAATAGAAACCTGGTAGACAATTTTGAGTCAGTGATAAATTTTCATTTCAATCACATAATATCAATTTCAGTGACATAAGAAAGCTTATATATTACTGGACTTGATTTAAGTTTTGCAAAAAGGCAAAGAAAATTTGAGAAAAGTTAATCTTAAAAAATAACAAGACACATAAGACACTTATGAGAAACAATACAAAAGTAAACTGCTTTTTCATTTAGATATGTTACCTCTTACACAAACTTGAATTTCAAACTTCAACACCCCTCACTAATCAGCCATCTGAAGAAAGGATATTGAACATAAGCAAATCCTCTGGGACGACGAGTGTAGAAGTCAAGCGGAACGTATACATCAACTATAGGCCCATAACGACCAAACTCACGGCGCAAGTCTTCAGACCTAGAATATCATAGATATCTTACATGTCTTCTCACTATTTAAGGCATTAAAATTAAAAAATATATACATCTACAATCACTCATCTTTTTGGATGGCAGAAGATGCACGTAGCAAAATAATTTTAATTTTGGGGGAAGAGTATGAGCTGTTCACTGCTAAAGCAACGTGCTAGGCTTCCCAAGAGCACCACTACAATTCAGGATGCTTAGGATAACCTTGGTATTTTGAAATCAGTGCTCAGCACAACTCAGCAACATAAATGTAAACAGAGACGAGAAGTGACACACAGTAGCCAAGCCAGTTCAATGGGAAGGTGGGCAGAAAGTGAAAAAAGGAATCTAACAATTATTATACTATTAACATTGATTTTACAAAGTGTAAACATGAACTATAATGTCCAAAGGAAAAGCACAAGAATAATTTTGTCACTCATACTGACTTCTATGAAATAATCAATACTAACAGCCACATCAAGGAACAAAGCCAGACTGAGAAACCATTCATGCCCTTAGGTCAACTGTCCCAAAGATGTGGCTTAGAGCACAACACAAAACTGTTCAACAGATTTGTGATAACACTTGAAATAAGTGCTGTCTCCTTAACAGAGGAACTTCTTTACGCATACCTTCTGGTGTCATTTTAGGACAATAGGGAAACATTCGTGTCATGTAAACACAATACTACATCAAAGAGTTACTGATGCTTATTCCTCTTTCATATCTGTTGGAAAAATATCTACACTGTACATTATCAATGACAGCAGAAGGCAGCTATAACAACCAAGGTCTCACAACGAAACCATCTCTAACAGGAACGAGCCACATAACTGAAAGCTTACACTGAAAGCCTAAAAGGGAGCATTGCCAGTTAAAAAAAAGTTTGAAAATGAGCCTTCTTCCATGACTTCTAGAGGAAAATGATCTACACGCAAAGAAAGAAAAGTCGTACAAGAAGTATCACTTTTAAATTGAAATTACTTATATTGTTCATGGTAATAAGGTTCCTAATTCATTCAGCCATGCCTAAGCCACTGTTAACTCAACACCTTTTGTGCAGCCATCCGGGCAGCAGGTCTGAGAGCTCAGATTTGCGATTTACACAGCCAGACCTCGCAACGTCTGCCACACCAACCCCACGATCACCAACAGCGAAACCGCCGCGCCGCAGAAACGGAATGGAGGACGCCAATACTCCGACAGCCACGTGCAACGGATTCCTTTTCGGTCTTTTCGCTCACTGCGAAGATCTCTCCACTAAGCCCCTGCACGTATGTTTAAGTTTTGCTACAACATAGTTATTACGGAGAAAAGCGTTTTCCGTCTCTGTCCTCCCACTGAGCGCCACCGGAGGCCGCAGCCCGTAACAACCAGAGGGAACGAGCGGGCGGCAATTACCGCAGTAACGGAACGAAGCGCGCGGAATTTTGGGGACATCCACAACGAAGGCACCGCTGCGCCTTCGGGCAGCACCGCCCATTTCTGTCCAGACTGCAAAACACGGCGGCCGCCGGCAGGCCCCCTCCCCCCATCCCCGGGTAGCGGCGCTCCGCGGGGCGGCCGAGCTTTGTTCTCAGCACGGCGCTGGGCAGCGATCGGCGCGAGGCGGAGGAGGAGAGGGCGGCGCCGCGGGGAGGGGGTGGGCGGCCCGGCCCCGCACGGCCCGGCGAACCCGCGAAAGCCTGCGCAGCCCCCGCGCCGCGCTGGCGCCTACTCCGACTCACCGGGTGTCGTCGGCCACGTTCCGCACGAAGAGCGAAGTGTTGGGAGGGCGCAGGTAGCGCGACATGGCGGCGGCACGAGGGGCGGCGAGCGGCGGGGCCCGGGCGCGGCGGGAGCCGAGGCTGAGGCGACCCTCCGAGCAGCACGCAGCGCCACCGCCGCCCGCCCGCCGCCTCTCGCGAGACTTCTCGCAGGGCTTCCGGCGAGAACTCCGCGCGAAAAAGACCGCGCGCAGAAAGGAGCCGCGGGCGCCAAAACTCGCGCAGCCCTTACTGCGCGTGCGGCTTCGACCGCGCCGTGCACTGACGCATGCGCAGAATGCGGCCACCAGGCGCTCGCGGCCCATGCGGGAGAGGACCTCTCCCGCCTGCAGGATCCGCGCATGCGCTCTGCTCCGCTCCAGGAGGGGCTGGATTTTCCCGCCCCAAGATGGTGAAGCGCGCGCGCCGCTTCTTGTGCGCCGTTGAAGTGGCGGCGGGCGGGGCGCCGCGGGGGCCGCGCGGGGGCCCTGCGCCGAGGCGAGCGGCCGTTTTTCAGTTGAGTCGTTTGTGTGGCGAGAACAATAAAGCAGGTAGTTCTGTGGCTGATATTTAATGGTAGTTGTGCCGATAAACTCTCGTATTGTGGCTGAATTGTTACCTCGGGCAGCGTGAAGGGCTGTGTTGCGTCGTGCTGTGGTGAGGGGCTTTCAGATCCACAGGCACAGAAGAGCAGCCCCTGCCTCTCCCTACTCGCCACAGGCTCCGTGTGTCAGCGCGTTAAGGGGCTGCGTTTGTGCGCGAGTTGTAAAAGAACAGGAACATGAGCCAGGAGAGCGTTAGAGACCAGAGTTGTGTGGGAGTGCATAACACAAAACATCTGTGGTAAAGTGGGAAAAATTCCTGTTGCAGACACGTGAAAAAGAAGTGGAACCAGCTGAGAGTGTAGAGTGTTGAAGGGTAGGAACTCCTGCTGCAAGTATTACCCCTTCAGAGCTTTTGGAATTGCAAATGAGCAGTTTCAACAAGATCCAAATAGTAATAACATCAAGATTCTCACGAAGCCCTCTGCAGAAGATGGCTGCATGGAAGGGGATCGGTACCACGGCCCAGCGGTGGGATAAAGCTCACAACCTGGCCACAGTCATCAGGTTTGGGCAGCTTCGCCTACAGAACCGTGCTGAGGATTTTCCCACATCCTTGGTGTCCCGAGGCAGAGGAGTGTTGGATTGACAGGATGGGCACAGTTGCTGGAAATGTGATGTCCTGACAACTGTGAAGAATTTAATAATTTTTTGGTGCCTTCAAATTAAAATGACGTCACTTTATATTCCGTATATGAATGAATGTGCTTTTAGTATATGGCATTTTCAACATGTGATGTATCTGCACTCTGGAGCGCAGTGCCCCTTTTGATACACGCAGTCCTGTACTGAGCCTGAACTTTGGTGAGGAGTTTGAACAGGAAGAGCACATTTCCAAGTGTGCAGGGAATGTCTGAATAGTCCATGAACACCACTAAGACCTTTATTTTAAAGGTGAGATGTTTATTTTAAATACAAACACACATATGTGCGTTTTGCTTTAATATCAACCTATCTTATGTCAAATCAAAAGCAAAGAATTATGGTTTTGTAACTTCAGAAGTGTTCTGTCCAGTGATCTGATTTAGTTAAAGTCATTCAGAAATAAACCTGATGCATCTTTGCTTTTGTATCCTACAACTTACTGATACAGCATTTGATCATTGAAGATTTTCACTGTTCTGCAGGCATGCTTTTGGAAAACTGTGTTGTGTTGTCATATGTCACTGTGAAGTTAGCAGCAGTTACACAGCAGTTTCCAGACAGAAATGTGCCTAACTCCTACATGGCCTCCTGCAGTCCTGATGCTTTGAAAGTCTTCCTGAGCTTATCAGTGTCTTGGCTTCCATGCTGTTTTTAGTTTTGTTAACTCACATGGAATTTAAGGTCTGCAAAAGGATGCACAGAAATACTGCAGAGCAAACACTGACAATGTAGAGGGATCCAGGTAGGCTGGCTCGAGGGTCTGCTCTGTAATGATTGTTAAATACTTCACAGCTTTTAGGATGTTCTCATTGCAGTCCCAGTGCAGGTCAGCTAAACAAGTATCTATTCGTTTTTTTGCTGAATAGCATAGAGAGAAAAGAGTTTTCAGTAGAACATTGCACTTTCCTATAAAAAGGGTTTAACACTGAATATGTTTATTAATTTGGTAAGGAAGTGAGAAACATTGATATCAGCTTCTGTCCCTTCTCAATGATTACTATGGTAAATCAGCATTTTTCAACTATGTCCAGCTTTGGTTGTCTGAGAGGGAGACCTCAGTTTTGGGTATAGAAGGGATCTGTAAGTGTACTTGGGGAAAACAGAATCTTATAATAATGGGAAGTGATTTTATGTATAATGATAGTAGAAATCATCATTTTCTGTACTATATAGCAATAGCAAAGATGGACACACCTTATGGAAAGTGCACTTTATTTTAAGTATGTAAAGATGTCACAAAGAAGGTGATCTGTCTTTAAATTCTCTTGCTTCTTCTGACAAGTGTAACTCCACCAAAAGTAATAGTCTGTAGATGACAAATACACACAATTTGTTTTTCATTTGGACTTCAGGATAGCTATTAATAGTTAAGTCATTAGAAGTTTCTGTAATTCATTTATAAATCCAGATTATCACAGAAGAACATTCTACAGAGTTTAGTTACAGAAATTACAATGCCTGCCTATACATATGTGCAAAATGTTTGAACCAAAGAATGTTTTTGGTTTTCTTTCTTTTTTTCTTTTTTTTTAAACAAAACCAGTTCCGAAGAGAGGTAATCTAAATATAAGTGCCATTATCAGCTGCATTTTATCACTCTGTTTTAACGGGTATAAAGATATACTTCCCATAGTGGAAATGCATCATCCCAAATAGTAATGGGTTCTTTTGCACAGTGTTTTGCTTGGAAAAGTAGCTTGAGATACTCAGATTCATCTTGGGAAGCTGCATGTCAAAACACACAACTTTGATGGAGTTAGCTGTCTTTCTGATTGTAGTCTTTACCTAAGTGGATACTTCTTTGAAATCTGGTGAGCTTAACTGAGGAGAATATCTCTTTGTTACTAAGAAATAAGCTAGAACTAACTAGGTGGAACAAAATGTATTGCAAAATTTTCAAGTCTGACTCAGTCATTATTTGTTTTGGAGCCAATACTGTTCATAGAACTAAGAGTGCAAACAGTCTTCTACAGGAGTTTATAAGGAGTCTTCCTATGCAGTGCTCAACAGCTAAAGCCATTCACACTTCAGTGCTTAGAATTGTCCCCAGCATAATAATTAATAAACAACATTTGTTGAGAAAGATGCATTAAATGTACAAGCAGTGTTTAAAAGAGAGTCATTTAGAGCACCCAATTTTTATAACAGGAATAGTAACTGACACTGGTAGTGTTTTCCACTGTGATTAGTCTGAAATACTAAAATTCTGAATCTGCAGATTTAAGCATCTGTTAAGATTCTATAAGCAATGTAGTCATTTGGGGGCCAGTATTCTTTGAACGTATTGACCCTACACGAAGAGCTGATCAACAGAGAACTTTTTTCCTTCAGCATTTAATAAACCATTGTTTTCCATCACTTACCTCTACCATTTCATTTCCTTTAACTTCTTGTTCATGTGAGAATTTTTCTGATTTGCACACAAGCTTCCCATTTGCCAGGTGCACAGTGCACTGTTGAAGCAGATTAAAAACATAAAACATTGGAGATTTTGAGGAAATAGATAGGAAGTGATTCCGGCATAGATAGGAAATAAATGCGAGTCACACTGATGCTGTGTAATTACATCTGTTGATTGAAGCAGGAGTATTTTAATAAGAGTTTCACAATAAACATTTCTGTTGGTCAAAATGTATGCATGTGCTCTATATTTATTTATTTTTCTAAAGAAAATGGTAAAAACAAATCTCATTGGAGCACAGAAACTGAAGTATAAGGGTGAGCAGAGAGATTCACCTGTTTCTGAAACACATTACCTTTAGCTTTTTGCCATCCATAGTAGTAATGTCAGCCTCTTTTCCAAGTGTAAAGGAGTTAGTCACAGTCTGCTTGGGTGTTTTTGATGTCACAACAAAGTCATCTCCTTTTTGTTGTATTTCAACAATAGGCTTGATATCTCGAGCCACTTTGATAAGGTCTTCTGGCAGTGCTGTGAAGAAAGACAAAAAAGGACTTCTATTATGAATTTGTGTATTTATATGAAATAGCAAATCAAGGTGCAGAATGTACAAACCAATAACAAAAAATAGTTTGCGAGGTTGAAGGCAAATGCTGTTTTGGGTTCCTCACTTCTCTATGGACATAATGTTCCATTCCACCTAGACTGTATAGATTTTGGTATTATAATGACCTTGAAGTACTTTATCAGTGTGTCTTCAGCATGACTTGAAAGTACCATCTTTAGCAGTAAGGGGTTGGTGTAGGCATCATACTGCAGGATGGAGCTTTTCAACTATAACTGAGTTTTAATTCTACTGAATATCTGTTACGTGCCTGAAAAAAACACTCAACTGTGAATGTTTTGCCATGATTGTCAAGAAGATAAGTGCATTTTTATTTATGTGGTACCTACAAAATCATAACCACCAAGTTGATTCTTTACAGATTACTGAGCAGCTGTCACATACATTTATCAGTAGTGCTATAGAAAGTGCCTGCTCTACTAAAGAGCACTGAAAATCTGTAAGCCATTAACAAATTTGTTACAGTTAAATGTATTTATAACATTATGTGTTAACCCAAATAAGTCATTTTTTTATATGTACTTATTCTTTTGTAAGGGACTTGTCATAGTTTCTTTTCTTTTTCAGATCAGACATAATAGACTTACCTGATGAGTAGTTTATCACAGAAACAAAAGAAAAAAACAGCATAGAAATACTATAATAAAAGATGTTTGCAAAGCATGTGTACAGAGCAAATGATTTTAGAAGTGACTTAACACTTACCGAGAGCTTTCAGAAATTCTTCATAGTTCTCTTGAGCATAGACCTGCCAGGTGCCGCTGAATGCCATTATGGATGATAAGGTACAGTGTGAGGGCAGTGCTGCTAGCAGGACAGTGAGAGCTGATTCTGGTCATTCGGGTGCTATTTATGGAAAGGGTGAGACCAGCCCAGGCTGCGAGATGATCAGCTAATTATTAACAGTGAAGTAACACTTATTAATCTCATATTTGCTCTCAATGATCATAACCTCTCGTTCATTCTGCTTTTTACAGAGTCCTACCTTGACCAAATCTTCTGGGATGTTCTGTTTATTGATGGGTCACTGAACTCAGATAATTATTCATAATAGTTGCAAAGTGTTGCCTTGATTAATTAGTTTTATTTTTGTGCACAACTTCTACTCGTAATGTGTTTTCTTTCATTTCTTCAGGTAAAATAGCATAATTTAGATGTGAGATAATCACTATCATGTGATAGGACAGTGTATAGTGTATGTGCTATGAGCACTTGGAACTTAAATGGTGGAAATAAAGCCACAAATGCTTCTTCCAGAATTGTGGTACTCCACTTTCTTGGTCATTCTGGAGCAGTCAGTTATGATTTCTTCCAGTAGATGTCAGTAAAGTGTATCTAAATCTGTGTTAAATGTAGGGTTGTGGCTTTTTTTTTTTTTTTTTTTTCCCAATAGGCACCGTACACACGAACATTAAAGGTAAAATTAAATATGAAACATTACTTGGAGACTGAAATTAAATAAGTAAATGGAGTGCATTAATTATTTTTCTTCTCGCCAGTTACACCAAGAATTCCTCACTCAGAGATAGTAAGTGATATTCCTTGTTGTTCATGCAAGAATGATTGTTGATTTTGGAAGACGTTGCACTAGATTATGTATCTTGCAGTTATATTGCTTAATTCAAATAGAGCCTATATCCCAGGGGTTGCTGACCTTCCTAAGTTAACTTTTATTACTCCATACCAATCAGTAATTCTTCTATTTAAAAAGAAAAAACAATGCTGAACTTTTTCCTACAATTTCACAGTTATTTTTAGTATGTAATTTTAAAGAAAATGCAGACAGAGAGCTAGATGCTTGAAGTGGAGGAAACGTTCATGTTAAAGCATATTTCTCTTCTGGTTTTTATTAGCAGGGAGCATGCAAGGCTCTGGGCTGAGAAAATTTGTACTGTAGTTCTAATTAATCAACCTTATGGTTTCAAGACAACATTTCGTTTATACATACTGTCATCTGTTTTGTTGTTTGTGTTTTCAGAATCCTACCACAGAGCCAGTTTGACAGAAGAATTTTTTTTTTTTAATTCATATGCATAAACAAATCTCTTCCTCCTAGCAGTGTTCAGACCAGAATAGTTAGCGGGAAGTCGACATGTAGCTCGCTTCTCATGACTCTGGGAAATTCCTTATTACTGCAAGCTATCCCTGTACCAGCAAGTGTAACTTATATTTTCTTGAAGGACTGCTCAGGTATGTATCCTAGTCTCTGGCTTTAAAAAAAAAAAACAACCTCATTATTTGTGTAAAATAGTCCTAGCAACTTGCTGTAGTTAACCATGCTTGGGCAGGATTTGGACAAGGTGAGCTCCATAAGTCCTTTCCAAACTGAGTAGTACTGTGAAATCAAAAAGTTAGATAAAGCTTTTCTGGTAATCTTTTCATTGTCCTCTAAAGAGCACTGTTGTCTTTGGGAAGCTAAACTTGACACTAAGAAACCAAAAAAGAAATGCCACACACTTGAGATGGAATTCACATGTCTATAATGTTTACAGAGCTACTTCACAGTACCAACCTAAATGCTTTCCTTTATTAGTTTTTTAGTCTGAATATATATATTCTACATCAAGATGCACAATTTTGTAATTTCATTTCTATAGAATAATTGTTGTCTAAGTGGCAGGGATGATGTCCTGGTACTGGATAACACTGTACGTGTGCATGGTGTGTAGCTCACATGGCTGTAAAGCCTGGGTGCTTATACTGCACTTATTCTAGGACATGATTATCTGCCTTATCAAAGAGTAATATGAACAGTGCCTTCCATCTCTGTGGACTTTCCCTCTGCCCTCTTGTGTAACAATTACAGCATGTCAGGCTAGAGGGAAGCTGTCCACATTCCTCTGCAAAACTCCAAGCCTTGGGAGTGTCACTGCCTTGTTTTCTTCCCATTCGATTCATGTTTGTGAAGGTCAACACTTCACAGTCCCAGTTCACGTGGTACTTAGAAAACTTCTGACTAATTTCAAAATGAATGTACTTGACAACAATGGTAAGGTGTCACTCTTTGTAAGTTTAATAACATAGACGTTATCTTGTAGCTGAGAAAAGCTTACAAGTAACATACCAGAATTTAGTACAGAAAAACCCTATGCTATTAGCTTGGTTGTACGTGAACCCCCTGGTATTTCCTACACAGCATGTTTTTACAGGGAAGCAGTTTCTCTGTAAAGAGAGCATGTGAGTGTACATGCGCACACATACACTTACAGAATCACAGAATGGCAGGGTTGGAAAGGACCTCAAGGATCATGAATCTCCAACCCCCTGCAGGGGGGCCCCCAACATTCAGGGCCATCAACCTCCCCTTATTTAATACTAGACTAGGCTGTCCAGGGCCCCATCCAATCTGGCCTTGAACACCTCTAGGGATGGGGCATCCACAACCTCTCTGGGCAGCCTGTTCCAGCACCTCACCACTCTCATGGTAAAAAACTTGAGAATTACTTACAAATGAGAACTGTTTTCTAGCAACCAAGAAGTGAAAATACTGCAACATTACTGAAACAAAGATAAAGGAATGAGCCTAAATTTTAGGGTGGAGACATTCAAATGAAACCAAAGGGGTTAAATTCCTTTTAAATTCACTGACATATAGTTGCCTGGTTCATTTAGGCTTTCTTGTTATGGTCTCACTCGGGACTTCCTTTTCTTCCGTTCCTATGGGTATCTCTCCACGCTTATAGACACTGACAGTAACCTGCCCTGTTTCAGAGCCATATTTGTTTTTAACATAGATGCTGTATTTTCCTGTGTCTTCATTGCAGACTTTCTCTATCGTAATTGTGACAACTGTCCCTTTCACATCCATTCTGTAACGATCTTTAAAGATGATAATTTTCTCATTTTTGAACCAAGTGATTTCTGGGTAAGGATCTCCAGAGATACAGCAAGTTAAACACAGGGTCTGTTATAAAAGAAATAGTAGAGATAGATTATGAAGACACAAATGAGCAAGGAAATTCAGGTGATGTGATATGTTAATAATTAAAAAAATCAAGATCAGTAAAAATCCACAGGAGTTTCTTATCCATAATCGCTCTGTTCTGAACAGATTAACTTCATCAAACAGCACACACACTTATCTTAGATCTGTTTCTTAAAATGAGTGACAGTTCCTGAAAGGTGTGTGTTATTTGATTATTCTTGTAACTTTACAGTTCATTGAACAGGCTGTTTAATCGTGGATCCATGGAAATAGCAGTCCTCAGTTTAGTGTTATTAATAATTTCTTGTAGCTTCTGTGGAACTAGAAAATTCTTACAATAGTGACTTTGAATCACTTCCACATCCTTGGTAATAAAATGCCAGAAATGACAGCGAGCATTTAGAACTGAGAGCGTTCTCCCCAGCAGTCATTTACCTACATCTGTGCAAGGCCCAGTTATCCAAGCGATTACTCAATATTACCTTATCCTCCATGATGGTGGCTACATCTGGCAGACCTTGAACAACTCTGGCGCGACCTGGGAATGAGCAAATATGACCTCTTAGTTTTACTTATTAATGTACCACTTGGTTTTGTTTGGCAGAAGAAATTCATTTACTTACACTTTTCTGCTATTGCTGCTTCTCTGAAAGAGACAAAGACAAAATTATAATGATTTGTTAGGTATTGTACCAAATACAACACTCAAAATAAATATTTTTACAGCTCAATTGATCTAGGTGAGAACTTACTTTAGCCTTCTGTGCTCAGCCAGGGCATCTTCAAAGGCTGCAAGAAATGAAATTTTAGGTTTTAGGGAATGTTGCTGTTTATTTCTTTTGACATAGTACTCAGCAGTGCTCCTTAAAGGCTTCAGTCCTTTCCACTGATCCCTTCTCCTCCCATTGTCTTCCCTTTGGCTTTGTTGGGCACTTGACTGTCCTTAACCCAGTTTAGTAGCATGCTGTCACAGAACCATAGCTCCGGCTCAAATGAAAGAGAAGAATTGCTGCCAGAGATCTGAAGGAATCTTGGAAAGCAGCTCAGGGAGATCTAATTCCTGTGATGCAGTTGTTGATTCAGCTTACCTTGCCCAGACAAGTCGGTTGACAGCTTGTGAGAGTCATTCCCATCAAATAACTCCAGGATGTATTTTCCTTTGTCTGTATCTGTTGGATTCAGTATGTGGAGCCAGATCTGATTCATTGTGCTCCCAGCTTTCAGTTTGTCACGAATTTCCAGTCGCTTCTCCCTAAATAAACAAATTATTTAATTTCAATACAGTTTAGCAGACCTGTGTGCTTTGTTAGATCTCTACCTGTTAGAAGAACAGAGTTGGAGTCAGGACCTTGGCCATCATTTTGTAAAGGGTTACGTAGTCAGTCACTTGAATATCTCACTGGGCATCCATGCTTTCAGATAGTTTGCTAGAGCTCTCAGGTTCTACAAAATACCTCATAGTTTTTATTTGGGAGATTAAATAAAATTAGACATCGTATAACATTGGCACAGACTGCCAGGGAGGTGGTGGAGTCACCGTCCCTGGAGGCGTTTAGGAGTAGATGTAGTGCTTAAGGACATGAGCAGTGTTGACGGTAGGTGGACATTTGGACTGGATTATCTTAGAAATCTTTTCCAACTCTAACGATCCTATGATATGCATTTAGTCCTTAAACATCATTAAAACTGGCCTCCTTCTGTGTGTCTGTAGGATGTGCGTAATAAAACAATATTTCTATTTTACCAAGTTGTTATGAGACTAAATGAGCTCACGTTTGGGAAGAGTCTTGTAACATTTGGGAGCTGTGTTATTCAGAGTGGGGCAACATAGTGGTTTGTGGAAGCATAAAAATAGTAGAAATAAAGAGTTTGAAACAAGAAAATAACTGCTTCCTTTCCTGTTTGTAACCAAAGTTACTATTCCAGTTAAGATGACCAGTTATTTGTATCTCAGCACCACCAGAATATTTGTAACATGATTGTTCATTTTGGAATTCCCAGACACGTTTCAGGATTCATACAGAATCATGGTTTTCAGCTCTGACTGACAAATCTCCCACTGCCTTAAAAAACTATGGTCTGAGGCCTAGCATACCCGGTTCTTGTGATAAACAATTTCAAGTAACAGTATCCCCAGAACCCTTCCCAGTGCCTTTAGGGGACTCACTTGTGAAACCAGGTTGTTTTCATGTAGTCTGTGTAGTACTTCACGTCTGTGTAGATTTTGATGCCTTCGTCAGTAGGCTGAATTTTCAGAGGTGTAGCAGAAAGAGCTGATGGTATAATTAAAAGACTGGAATTGAAGAGGGAATCCAAAAACATCTGCACAATCTTACATGTTATGCAAAGAAAATCCCAGGCAACCTATTGATGTTTATCTCTGGAGAATGCGACTGGTTGAATGTTGGATGGTATTGTATCTCTGGAAGGCTCCTCTTTTAGCCAACAGAGAGCAGAAAAATGACATCATCTCTTCTGGAGACCTATAACAGGCATCTCACAGACAGAAGTAGTATAAGTTGCCCAAATTCACATAGCAAATGATGTGACAAGAAGTCTGCTGGCACATGCAGGTCACAGAAATAATTTGTAAGTGCATAGGGTTTTGTGTCCCTGGACACATTTACTGACCACCCTTCTTGACAGTTTAAAAGTGCTTCTACTGCCAAATATTAAAAGGGCAGTACTGTACTTGAGACCAACCTCTAGATCCAGGGCAGCTCCTGTGCTGTTTGCTCTGATCCTGGCGCCCCCCCTCCTCCCCCCCTTCCCCTGCTGTTATTACCTAGGAGAAAAGGACATACCACTGATCCTACACAGCTCCTTGAGGAGGTCTTCAAACGCTGCAAAGATATAATGACATCTAAGTATTTATAAATACAGTGTTAAGCAAATCACATCTGATCTGCCAACTACATTTTCTTATGTGTATAATGTATCAGTTATTCATTATCTTTTTCTGCTGTAAATCTTACTGGATATGGAAATTTTTGCCATTGATTTATTTATTTTTAGATACTGATCATTTCTTACTACATTTAGATGTTCCTGTCTTCATTAACACTCAGTTTGTAATTAAGGCAGGAAGCTGAAATAACATAGCATTTCTTTTGTGCGTTGTGTTGTCTTTAATTGATATTCTGCGGTTGTGGTTCAGTTGTGAATTTTGATTCACTGATGGAGTTGCAGAACGGAAACAGAATTTTGTTTTCTTGGTGGTTTGGACTGGCTGAACTTCCAGGGCTGAGAATTTGTTTGTGGATTATCAAATGAATTCTGGCATGGACAGATAAAGAGAATAGGGATTGTATACAAAGCCCTCTGAAAACATACTCTGTTCATTGGGCTTTGTATAACTTTTGAAGAGTAAGAGATTTTTTTTTTTTTAACAGATTATTTTATGACCCCAGTCTGACATGAAATGCTTTTGATTTTCTAATTGATCACCATGTATGCATATACATATATAAAAACTAAGTTCTCCTACCTCCTTTTGTGAGATCAAGTTGGGTGTAGTCCTCTCCTCGGTCATCTGAAACAACTGCTTTGTATTGACCCTCATCTGCTTTGGTTATCTGGCAAATATATATGCAAATATATAACGTTAAACTAAAAATACATAAATAATTACAACCCCCCAACAGAATTTTTACATGCCATTGAAACAGGACACAAAAAGGGCAGGGAGCCGAGGTTTGCTTTCTTCTTCCAGTTTGTCTCCAGAACAGGCAACATGTCATGATCAGAAAACCTGAAGAGCCCACACTTTCCTTTTTAGCCCCTGTTAAAAGCATTCCTAATTCATCAGGCTATAACATTAATTCTTCTTTCACTTAGTTGGCACCACCCAAAACACATACAGACTGTTAATCATGAGGTCAATGATTATTTTTTGCAAGTTAGTGTGGTCACCAAAGCCACCAAATTGTTTTTTCTGTTTTTCACCTTTTTAATATGGAGAGTTCCTATCCCAGTCTGTGGGTCAAACACACCACCTGTTCGGGCTTTCTTATTGAAAAACCACTGGAAGTTGGTGTCCTTTCTCAGATTTGTTGCCTGTTTAAGTCAAAATTTAGAAGTCAGGGTCCCAAAAGCATTTGACTTTATCAATGCAGAGATGTTCTTCTAATGTGAAGCATCACAGCAGTCCTATAGGACTGTAGCATACTGTGAGCTTTCCTCTTTGTTAAAAAGTCTGTTCAAGCTCTGCTGTCTCTTACCTTTCATCAGTCTGCAAATAACCATTTGAATGAGCGTTGTTCATTCCCAGACCTTAAAATGCACATCTAAAATGTAATGCTGAAGAAATTCAGACTTGAAGTTGCATTGATGTACATACCTTGCAGGTA